ATCCTTTCCTATCGTGGCAAATAAGCCCACTGTCCTCCACACACACACTCCTGGTATTATCCCTGACAGCTCTTCACTTCTGGCACTCAGCTGCTGCTTAATCATATGGTTTCTTTCTCTGAGTCACCTCATGTGCTCTTGCAGCCAAGAGCTTGACTTTGATTTGGCAATGTCACGGCAGGAGCACATCCCTCGGGATGCCAGTGCTGCCCCAGCACGCTGCTGGGTGCTCTGCTCTGGGCTGGCATGGGTGCCTCTGCAGCCTGGGCCCATTCCCTCCCTCTGCCCTCCCGCACACACCACCAGCACCCCGCTTCTCCTGATTTTATCATTTCCCTGCTGCTTTGCAGAGTTTCTGCTCTTAGCACAGAGCGACCTGCCTGACCTTGACTCCCAGGTAGCCCTGGTGCTCAGATCCCTTCTCCAAACATCCTCCCGCTGAGGCCCCTCTCCCCCACGCTCTCCTCCTCCTGACATTTGCAAAGAGGGGGCAAGCACAGCAAACCAAACAAACCCAGCAAATACCGCTGCAAAAGGGGAACCAGTGCGATGTGCAGGGAGCACCGGGGTAACCTCGCTGCCTTCCGAGCCCTGTCCTTCCCCTGACCCCTCCTGCAGCACGTCTGCTCCGTGCTGCGGGCCCGGCACGGACCCCCCGCTCCTCTGCACATCCCCTGGGTACCTACGGAGCGATAACCGAGCTCTGCTCCTCCCTAGGAAAACAACCCGAGCTTCCCAGAGGAGTGTTTGCAGACAACGCTGCAAAACCGCTTCCCTGCGCCGCTCTTTGTACTGAGCAAATGTAAGGGCAGCCTAAAGCCGGAGGGCTGGGATAAAAGTTGGATTTCTCCTTGTCCAGAGAAGGCTGTAGCTGTGGACACACCTATTCACCCTCCCAGCCCCTCGGCTGGCCCTGCTTTGTGCGGAGAGGGTGTTGGTGTTTATTGCCTTTCTCCCCAGCTGCACACTGGCACGGACTTTGCTCCTCTGGGCTGGGATTTCTAAGCAGCAGGAGGCTTTCCACGTGTGTTTGAGAAGGTACAAAGCCTGCCGGAAAACAATGGAAATAGCTGCCTTATGACTGCTGCGTGTCACGCACTCGGTTCTTGCCCGTTCGTTTGTCCTTGGAGCTGCTTGCGCCGCCTGGAACCTGATCCCGAGCGGTGCCGGGCACTGGGGCTGGCACGAACAGCGGCACCGTGCCACGGGCACGGACACAGCCGTGGCCTGGCCTGGCCGGAGCTCCAGGCGTGGGGCAGGGGCTGAGCAACCCCCTCAGCCCCCGGAGCCACTGTGGGTCCGTGAGGAGTGGGGATCTGTGGGGGCTGCCTGCAGCTGCCTCAGAGCTGAGTGCTTCTCCTGTGCTCCGCTTCCAACAGGGCTCCTGGCCTGGGAGCATCCCGGCTGGCTCAGCATGGCTCTGCCAGTTCTCTTCACCTCCAGGACAGGATCTCCTGCGATCCCCTTGAACAGGCTCCCTCTGTGCCAGCTTCCCTCAAACCCCAAGTACAGGATCTCCTTTATTTCCCTCCCCTCAGCTTGCCAGGACTGGATCTTCTCATCCACAGGCTCCCCTTTGTCCAATCTCCCTTCACGTCCCCAAACACAGCATCACCTCCATTTTCCCCAGCACTGGATTCCCCCACCTGCTCCTCCGGGACAGGTTACCCTCAGCTCCCACCTATAACTGGATCCCCTCAGAACCCTCAGGGACAAGCTCCCCTCAGCCCTCACCTATAACTGGATCCCCTCAGAACCCTCTGGGACAGGCTCCCCTCAGCTCCCCCAAACATGGGACCGCCAAGACTGGATCCCCTCAGAACCCTTTGGGACAAGCTTCCCTCAGCTCCCACCTATAACTGGATCCCCTCAGAACCCTCTGGGACAGGCTCCCCTCAGCCCTCACCTATAACTGGATCCCCTCAGAACCCTCCAGGACAAGCTCCCCTCAGCTCCCCCAAACACAGGACTCCCAAGACTGGATCCCCTCAGAACCCTCTGGGACAAGCTCCCCTCAGCCTCCCCAGCACAGGCTCCCCTCAGCCCTCACCTATGACTGGATTCCCTCAGAACCCTGTGGGACTAGCTCCCCTCAGCTCCCCCAAACACGGGACCCCCAAGACTGGATCGCCTCAGAACCCTCTGGGACAAGCTCCCCTCAGCCTCCCCAGCACAGGCTGCCCTCAGCTCCCCCAAACATGGGACCCCCAAGACTGGATCCCCTCAGAACCCTCTGGGACAGGCTTCCCTCAGCTCCCCCAAACATGGGACTGCCAAGACTGGATCCCCTCAGAACCTCTGGGACAAGCTCCCCTCAGCCTCCCCAGCACAGGCTCCCCTCAGCTCCCCCAAACACGGGACCCCCAAGACTGGATCCCCTCAGAACCCTCTGGGACAGGCTTCCCTCAGCCTCCCCAGCACAGGCTCCCCTCAGCCCTCATCTATAACTGGATCCCCTCAGAACCCTCTGGGACAGGCTTCCCTCAGCTCCCACCTATAACTGGATCCCCTCAGAACCCTCTGGGACAGGCTCCCCTCATCTCCCACCTGTAACTGGATCCCCTCAGAACCCTCTGGGACAGGCTCCCCTCAGCTCCCCCAAACACGGGACGCCCAAGACTGGATCCCCTCAGAACCCTCTGGGAAAGGCTCCCCTCAGCTCCCCCAAACACGGGACCCCCAAGACTGGATCCCCTCAGAACCCTCTGGGACAAGCTCCCCTCAGCTCCCCCAAACACAGGACCCCCAAGACTGGATCCCCTCAGAACCCTCTGGGACAAGCTCCCCTCAGCCTCCCCAGCACAGGCTGCCCTCAGCTCCCCCAAGACTGGATCCCTTCATCTCCCTCTGGCCAAGTCCCCTCCTCAGCGGGCACAGCCGGTGGGGCCGGGATGCAGCAGCCTCCGTTCCCCCTGCGTGCTGCAGCCCGCCTTCCCCCCGCGGTGATCCGCGCTGAGCTCACGGCCGCGCCTCACGACACCCAGGCTCGGCACGTCAGCCCCGCCATCGCGTGAGAGCCGCCGCCCGCCGCCTCCCCCCCGCCCGCCGCCATCACGCACGGCGGCAACAGCTGCCAACACCGACTCGCCCATACCCCTCTCCCACACAGCCAAAGCGCGCTCTCGCCAGCTCTTATTAATGCAAATCTTAATTAATGACCCCCGCGGGGGGCGAGCCGCGCTTCACACGCGACGCGCGCTCTCATCCCCATCCTCCCAACTTGGCCCACGAAGAGGTTAAAATGGAGGCGGGGGCGTGAGGCGGCTGCCAAGGCGGGATTAGCGCGGCTCGGAGCTCGGCACGCAACGCGGGACGGGGCACGGTGGCCACACGCGAGGGACCCGCTGTGACACGCGTGGCACCTCCATGCAAAGCCGGGGGGGAGACGAAGGGCACCGGGCGCCCGTTCGGGCGCCCGGTGCCCTTCGTCTCCCCCCCGGCTTTGCATCCCTCTGTTGGCGACAGCACTTCCTCACCCATCTTTCCATCCCCCCCCACCTTACTGATACAATTTTCCAATAAAAATGTTGTTTCTGTCCTCTAAAATCCACTATTTTCTTCAATTCACCCCCCCCGCCCACCCCGTTCTCTCCCCAGCCTTACTGATGTTTCCCCTCAGACAGAGGGGGTCGTGTGTAAATTAAATTGAGGTCACCTCGTTTTTGGTGTTTTTTGCCATGGTTTGTCCTCAGTTTTGTGTTTGTGTCCCTAAATTACACGTGATAAAGGCAAGTCGGAACAGGGAGTGGGTTTTGGAGAGGAAACACGAACCCATCAGCGCTGGAAAGAAGGGTAGAAAGTGGAATTAATCCTGCTGAAATTGCCGAATCCTCAGTTTTGTGTGTGTGTCCCTAAATTATGTGTTCAGGGGTGTATTGTTTTATATCATAAGACTGTAGGGAATGTTTTGGGGATGTAGGAATTCCTTTGGGCACATGGTGCCTGCTGTGTGATGAAGGCAAGTCGCAACAGGGACTGGGTTTTGGAGAGGGAACACGAACCCATCAGCGCTGGAAAGAAGGGTAGAAAGTGGAATTAATCCCGCTGAAACTGCCGAATCTCGCTGCCAATCCTTGCCTGATTTATTTATTTTCGTGACTGTGTGTGCGCTCCAGTGGGTCTCACCAGGAGCTGGCGGCTCCCGGTTCATCCCGAGGTTGAGCTCATGCCTCGGGTGTGACAGGCAGATGACCCAGCTGGCAGGGCTGGATTTGGGGTGGTGGGGACTAATTGGGGGTGTCAGAGGTGGCTTTGGGGTGTCAGAGCCGAACTGGGGCTGGTAGGGCAGAATTAGGGGTGTCAGATGCAGGTTTGAGGTGTCAGGAGGGGCTTTGGGGTGTCACGGCTAAATGTGGGCTGTCACGGCTGGCTGGGGAGGAGGCAGAGGTGGTTTTGGGGTGTCAGTATAGAGTTTGGGGAGTCAGGGACGAGTTTGGGATGTCAGGGCCAAATTCAGGACATTGGGGGGTGGCTTTGTGAGTGCAGGGCCAAATTTGGGGTAGCAGAGCCAAATCTGGGATGGCAGATTTTGGCTTTGGGGTGTCAGTGTTTGACTTCGGGTTATTTGGGCTGGCTTCAGAGTGGCAGGGCCAAATTTGGGGTGTCAAGGTCTGGCTTTGGTGTGTCAAAATCAAATTCAGGATTTTGGGGCTGGCTTGGGAGTGGCAGGGCCGAAGGCCGAATCTTTGGGGTATCAGCGTTTGGGGTGTAAAGACCCAATTTGGGATGTCGGGGCCGGCTTCGAGGTGTCAGAAGCGGCTCTAGGGAGGATTTTGACAGGTCGGGGCTGGCTTTGGGGTGTCAGGGGGATTTTTGGGGCACATTTAACCCCGGCGCTCCCCCGGCCGCCTCCCCCGGCCGCCTCCCCTCAGCCGCTGCGGCGCGCACGCGCCGTTGCCGCGGTTACGGCGGACGCCGCGGCCACAAAATGGCGGCGGCCGCCGCGCCCCCCCCGCCCCTCACGGGTCCCCCATACCGGGACCCCGGCGGGCCCTGACCCCCGAGCCCCCCGAGTCCCCCGAGCCCCCGGAGCCCCCAGCCCCCGCCGCTCCCGGAGCCCGCCGCCGAGCCTGCGGGAGGCCATGGAGCGGCGCGGCCCCGTCCACGCGCTGCCCGAGGAGATCCGCAAGGTACGAGCTGTGGAAATGCCAGACCGCAGCACTCAGAGCTCCTGCAGGGATGTTGCACAGGCCTATGAGCACCGGTGCATTATCTGCACATTTTGGCCCTGGGTTAAGGTTGGGTGTTGAGTTTCCTCACTCTTTGTGCGGTGTAATTACAGTAATTCTATAGGAACCCTGCAGAGGGACACCTGAGTCTGTGCTGGGGCTGTCACTGCAGGTGAGTTTTGGGGAACACCTCACCTTGTGCTGGGGCTGTCACTGCAGGTGAGTTTTGGGGAACACCTCAGGGCTGTCACTGCAGGTGAGTTTTGGGGAACACCTCAGGGCTGTCACTGCAGGTGAGTCTGAGGGAACACCTCGCTCTGTGCCGGGGCTGTCACTGCAGGTGAGTCTGAGGGAACACCTCACCCTGTACTGGGGCTGTCACTGCAGGTGAGTCTGAGGGAACACCTCACCCTGTACTGGGGCTGTCACTGCAGGTGAGTCTGAGGGAACACCTCACCCTGTACTGGGGCTGTCACTGCAGGTGAGTCTGAGGGAACACCTCACCCTGTGCTGGGGCTGTCACTGCAGGTGAGTTTTGGGGAACACCTCGCCCTGTGCTGGGGCTGTCACTGCAGGTGAGTTTTGGGGAACACCTCGCCCTGTGCTGGGGCTGTCACTGCAGGTGAGTTTTGGGGAACACCTCAGGGCTGTCACTGCAGGTGAGTTTTGGGGAACACCTCGCCCTGTGCCGGGGCTGTCACTGCAGGTGAGTTTTGGGGAACACCTCAGGGCTGTCACTGCAGGTGAGTTTTGGGGAACACCTCGCTCTGTGCCGGGGCTGTCACTGCAGGTGAGTTTTGGGGAACACCTCGCTCTGTGCCGGGGCTGTCACTGCAGGTGAGTTTTGGGGAGCACCTCGCCCTGTGCCGGGGCTGTACTGCAGGTGAGTTTTGGGGAACACCTCAGGGCTGTCACTGCAGGTGAGTTTTGGGGAACACCTCGCCCTGTGCCGGGGCTGTCACTGCAGGTGAGTTTTGGGGAACACCTCACCCTGTGCTGGGGCTGTCATTGCAGGTAAGTTTTGGGGAACACCTCAGGGCTGTCACTGCAGGTGAGTCTGAGGGAACACCTCGCCCTGTGCTGTGGCTGTCACTGCAGGTGAGTTTTGGGGAACACCTCAGGGCTGTCACTGCAGGTGAGTTTTGGGGAACACCTTGCCCTGTGCCGGGGCTGTCACTGCAGGTGAGTTTTGGGGAACACCTCGCTCTGTGCTGGGGCTGTCACTGCAGGTGAGTTTTGGGGAGCATCTCAGGGCTGTCACTGCAGGTGAGTTTTGGGGAACACCTCGCCCTGTGCCGGGGCTGTCACTGCAGGTGAGTTTTGGGGAGCATCTCAGGGCTGTCACTGCAGGTGAGTTTTGGGGAACACCTCGCTCTGTGCTGGGGCTGTCACTGCAGGTGAGTTTTGGGGAGCATCTCAGGGCTGTCACTGCAGGTGAGTTTTGGGGAACACCTCGCCCTGTGCCGGGGCTGTCACTGCAGGTGAGTTTTGGGGAGCACCTCGCCCTGTGCTGGGGCTGTCACTGCAGGTGAGTTTTGGGGAGCACCTCGCCCTGTGCTGGGGCTGTCACTGCAGGTGAGTTTTGGGGAACACCTCACTCTGTGCTGGAGCTGTCACTGCAGGTGAGTTTTGGGGAACACCTCGCCCTGTGCCGGGGCTGTCACTGCAGGTGAGGCTCACATTTCCCCTTTCTGGCGTGTTTTGCTGCCGGGAGTTGGGAAGGACTGCAGAGCATGACATGTTCCAGAGGAGTATCAACACACACGGGACGGAACATTCCCCTTCCTCTCCCCTCGTGTCTCTGCGTGTTCTTTTGTTTGTGAGACAGATGTTTGCCGGCGTAACCCCGCTGTTGTTTATTTATATGGCTCAATTTAGGAGGAGGCTGCACTCAAGTGGAACACGAGTCACTTTCTGTAACACTATCAGGTTTTCACTCTGGCAGTACAACACCCAGCTGTCCTCATTCCTCGCTCTGCGGCTCATAATTGACAAGTCATTTAAAAGCTTTGTGTACTCAGCCTGGAGAAATTCTCCCTGGCTTAGTCCAGGAAGTTGTTCAGACAATTTCTGAGATGGTTTCTGAGAAATCAAGGATGGGTATGATAGACAAAGAAAGGGGAAAGGAATACTTAGCCTTAAAAAAAGAAGGGAAGCAACTGTGGAACACTTTCAGACTCATGAGCAGCTGTTTTGGTAGCAGGAAGGATCCCACTAAGTTTGTTTTTTTAGCAGTTGTTTTTTAACCCCAACGGGGGGATAGTGGTGAGCAAAAATCAGTGTAAACTTCTCACAGAAACGCTTGTACCAAACTGTTGGATGAGGGAATCCTCCTGGAGCTGGTTACTGCTTAATATTTCCTTTAATGACTTCAAGCTGCAGTTTGGTGGCACTTGAGCCTGTTTTATGTTGGGATCAGTTCCTGCTCCATGTGCTAGGCGTATGCTGGCACAAGGAGGGAGCAGCAGCCAGGGCAGGCACAGAAACACAGTGACATGAATTCTGTCAGCAGCAGTGTCAGTGGCTGCTGGTTACTATTGAGCCAGGATCTTGGATTACAGTAAGGAAAATGATGGTGCCAGTAGGGAAGGGGTGTGAGCACTCTGGGAACAGCATTAAACTCCATATTCTTAGGGAAAAATAAGTCATTTAAAATTAATCCAATGCATCACTACAAAATCCATAATAACCTCCTTGCCAGACTTAACAGCGAGGGCTGTGATCAGGTCATCAGCAGAATAATATGAACAAAAGGATGCTACACAGAAAGAATCTGTTAATGTATTAATAGTTTTAACATCTCAATAATTGTAATAGGAATCGCATGTGAAACTTGGGTCTTCGTTGTCCCTCTGTTCAGGGCTGTTGAGGTTTCAGTTCTGAGCTGCAGGCTTTAAAAATAATGACGTGACTGATGGGAATTTAGAAAAGAGCAAAAATAGTAAAGAGCTTTAAAATCTTCTAAGAAAGGATAATAGAGCTGGGTTTGCTCATTCTGGAAAATACCTGAGGGCACAGTAACTGAACACAGGAGGTGGTGGTTCATTTCCAGGTGCAAATGAGTCTTTTCCTCACATTTCTGGATGTGCTTTGGTTAACTAAAACTCTGGAGCAGCTCTCCCAGGCCGTTGTGGAATTCTCCCAGTGGGATTGTCACTTCAACTTGTCTCTCAAAGTAGAGGATGGGGCAGGCAATCTCTGGAGATCCCACCAGTGCTGGGTACATCTTTAACAAAAAGTCTGGTGCAGAAGATGCAGGATTTCCAGATATGGATGGACTTGTGCTCCTGTCCCATCCTCCTCCTGCCACGTGTGAGCTCCAAGGCAGAGACAGCCCAGAATTTGGGGTGAGAAAGTGTCGGGGTTTTACACATCCTCCAACACATCAGCCAGCTCGTGTTGGAGCTGCAGCATCCTTACAAGGCACTACAGTCATTCTCACAATTTCCTGCCCTTGTATCTCCCATCCTTCCTGCACACATGTCCTCACTCCCTTCCCAGGAATGATGAACATTCTCTGCCCAGATTTTCTAGCCTCTCCTTTGGGATCTCCTTTGCCCAGGGTGAGGGGTGTTCCCTGGCTGGGACAGATGGATGGATGGACAGATGGATGGATGGATGCTGGAGGCTGAGTTGTACTCACACAGGATTCAGGAGCTGCCTCACAGGGCAGGCTGCAGAGCTCTTGTTGTTCCTCCCCTTGGAGCTGCACAAGCTGCTTATCACGATTTTATTTTAAAGGAAGTTTTAGTCTAGAGGGAAGGAGATTTCTCAGCATTTTGTTAAGGGACTTTGGTTCTTCATGTTCTGATCAATTTTGCCTCAGAGAACTGTGTAAAAACTTTTACGTGTCCGTGCTTTCTTCTGTCTCTCATTCCTTCTTCTGCCCTCACACAACTTTCGCAACATTGCATCCTCATTCATTGCAAGAAGGGTGCTAAATGAAAAAACCAAAATCAATAGCGGAAGAAAACATCTACTTGTCCATTATTAAAGTTTATAGTATTCATTTGTATTTATAGTCCCACACTTCTTGGAAACTAATTGTTAGTAAAGATGGAAATCAGTGGCTTTTAATGCCTATTTTAATGTATTTACATAGAATTTCTGCAAGCAAACTGAGCCTGAGAGGTGTCACAATTTAGGGAGTTAGTGTTTCCGTGATTCCAATGTCATGGATGTGTATTTTTGGGGACTTCTGGTTTTGTTGCTTGGTTAATGTTTTATTTTGGCTTAATTTTTCCTCAGAGCTTTTATATTTCACCTTGTGAAATATAAAAGTTGCTTGTTGCCAGTGGTAGATGAATCTTTTTTTGTGCCTTTGGACTTTGCGGCAGGGAAGTAGAAGGGAAGATGCAACTTTGCACTGAGGATCTCCCTGAAACATGAAACAGAACAACAACGGAATGGCCCAAGTCCTTACAGCAGCAAACACATTTATATTTAATTTCATACTTTATTTGGCAGAAAAAAAAGATAATAAGCTTTGTTACCGTAAATCATAAAGCGAATGGGGCCAAGATACCCTCAGATTGAGAGTTGTCTCAGCGCAGGAGCTGAGGAGCTCAGGCCGGGCAGGAAGCCCGAGGCTGTTCCCCATGAGGACAGAACGTCCTGTGGTGTCCCCAGAGTATCGGGTACACCACAAGCAGCAACGGGTACTCGGTGCCTCTCCCACGTGTGCTATAGATGGGGCACAGGATGGGCCCTGTATGAGCACATCACCTCAGCTTTCCCTTCTCCTGCTCTCTGTGAGCCCAGCGTTGGGGTTTTCCTGGGAGAACTTTGGGAACACACAGTTCCAGCTGTGGTTGGGAGCCCACGGGCCTGTCCCGTCCTCCAGGCACAGCTCTGTGTTTGGGACGTGCTGCTTTGGCACCAGCAGGGATTTAAAAGCAGATAAATTCCCAGTTTGTGCCCTCCAGATAAGTGTGGTGGAATGGCAGAGCCCTTTTCAGCATCCTCAGCCATCCACCTTCTGGATTCTCCTGGAGGTGATGTCCCCAAGCTGCTCCAGTGCTCAGTGAGGTTTTCAGCACTGGGCTGTGGAATTTGTGATGTTTTATGGTGTTGGGGTGTCAGGTTCCTGCTGTGAGTGTGTTCTGAATGTGCTCTGGAAATGGGAGAAAATCCTGGAATGGTTTGGGTTGGAAGGGACCCCAAAGTGCCATGGGCAGGGACACCTTCCCCTGTCCCAGGTGGCTCCAAGCCCCGTGTCCAGCCTGGCCGTGGGCACTGCCAGGGATTGTATCCAGATGCTTCTCCACTGAGGGACACTCCACACCCTCTCTGGGCACTACAGCCAAGCTTTTCTCATCACCCCAGGGCTGTGTTCTCTACATCCAAGGTTTCCTCACAAAACCAGGGCTGTGCTCACTCCAGCCAAGGCTTTCCACCCTTTCTGCAGCCGCTGTCCAAGCGTGCTGCTGGCAACTGGAGGGACTGGAATCTCCTCACTCCCACTCGTGGGGTGCAGCCAGGAGGGGCTTCCTGACAGTCACACCTGGCTGCAGAGAGTTCCTGGGGCAAAGGTCTGGATAACAACGAGCTAAATCATCCTTTGTGTGCTGTGTTTCGTCAGCAGATGCTTTGTGGCACCCTCGGTTGAGTTCTCCGCTGGAACGTGCCCTGCCACATCCCAGGGAAGCTGGGGAGCTCAGGAAGGGGTGCTGGCCCTGGGCTGGGCTCTGCAGGCTCTGTGAGTGTGAGAATGCCTTGGGATTCATCCTGATTCATCCTTCTGCTTCCTCCAGGCTGCAGTGCCTTCAGCTACCTGAGCTCCCGGGGTTCCTTCCTGCCTGACACAGGGATTATCCCAGGGCATGTTCTGAATGAAGCAACTTTCTGGTTTTACTCCCAGCTTGCTTCTCCACTGTTCGTGTGTTCAAAGCAAGCGCAGGGATTTTTATTTTGCAACTGTGATTTTACGGGCAGAGAGCAAATAATGATGTGAACAGTGTGGCTCAGCAGAACCATCTGTATTGCTTTGGGGTAGATGCTGATTGAAAACTTGGCTCATAATACACTTTTTTTCTTTTAAAAGAAGTGAAGTTTCCACTGAGGCCTTTTAAAAATCTTCCTTTGACTAAGGCAAATATAAATTTCGATCTGCTACCTCCTCATTTTGCATATACATCAAAAAGACTCCCCTTTCTTCCTCAAGAATCAGTGGTGTGGTTTGAGTCATCATTTCTTTTTGTGCAATAGGGATTGACTGATGTGTCAGAAGAGGGACACCCAGGATGAGAGACATGAAAATAATGTGAGAGAGGAGTGAAACAAAAAAGAAAGTAAAATTGGGTAATAAGGTAGAATAAATCAACATACAGAAATACTTTAAGACCACCCAACTGCAGTGTAAGGATTTCTTTTTTTCTTGACTTTTATGTTTTCAGCTACAAGTTTAATTTGGACAAATACAGAGTTTTTTGGCTTTGAGCAGTCCTTGCTGAAGCAATCTCAGTCCTGACAGATGCACCAAGAGCTGTGGACCAAGGAGCACAGGGTGTTGTGAGGAATTTCTCCATGGAAAGGGCTGTCCAGCCTGGCCCAGCTACCCAGGGCAGTGTGGGGTGCCCATCCCTGCAGGGATTTATCAGCCCTGTGGATGTTGGGGGTGTGGGTGCTGTGGGATGGTGCCCCCGATGCTCCTGCAGGGCTTTTTTAGGGTTCTGTGCTGAGTGATCTGTCTGCTGGGTGCTGTGATGTCAAAGCCCTGCCAAATGAGAGAGGAGCTCGCTCTTCCAGACAGGAATCCAGCTCTCCATCGTGGGGTGTTTGTGGCTGGAATGTGAAATTCCAGAGGAGAGGGGTGGTGGTGCACGACCTGACACACCCTGGAGTTATTTGGTCAAGTTCGAGTGGTACAAATTCCTGTCTCATCATTCAAAAGGCTAAAAATGGTCCAGACCACCAATTTCTTTTCTTTTTTTCCTTACAGCTTATGCTCTACAGATGAAACTGAGTCAGACAGATGTAATTTGAGTGATTATCCCTCTTGGCTCAGGCCTCCCCTTGCCTTGGTAGCTAAAGAAATCTTTGTAACCAGGGGATAATATTTCCTTCCAAAACCAACTGCAGAGTGGAAACTGTTCCCCCAGATGCTTTACAGCATCTGTGCATCACTCACAACTGTAGTTCAAAGTCTTATGGATAAATATCTTCCCAGATCAAGCACTTTGTCCTCAGCAAAACTGGTTTTTTAATTCCTAATTGATTTTTTCTGTTCACTGCTTGTCCTCAGTGCTCACTCAGGACATGCAAGTCCCCTTTCTACTCAGAGCTCTGACAGTTTCCTTTTCTATTCCTTCCAAGCTGTTTTTCCCCTGATTTTTTTCCTGCTTTGAAGTTAAAATGGCAACAGTGTTTTTATCAAATGGAAACTGTGAAAAATGAAATCTGAAACCATGAATTTGTATTTGGTACGCATCCTTAGTGGTTACTCAGCAATCTCACTGTTCCAGAAGAGGTAATTTGTAAGCATAAAAACTGATGAGTTTGTTTCCTACAGATTTAGTGAAATGGTTGGTCAACTTTGGTGTCTAAGAGACAAGGTCTAGTGGAGCTAGATAAATGGAATGGAAAGTCATTTATTTATAAGGCTGCCAGGGGCAGGGATAGATGGGATATTGGAAATGTCCCTGCCATGGCAGGGGTGGGACCAGGTGGGCTTTAAGATCCTTCCAACCCAAACCCTTCTGTGATTCCATGAGAGAGGAGCTTGGATTTAGGATGGGGAATCAGGTCAGTGCCTTCCTTGCTCTATTCACTTTGATCTGGGTCCTGTTAATTTTAATCTGTCCTGGACAGATGTGCTGGCTTTATAAGAGGTGTGGCTGGCATCACTCAACGTGTGCCAAATCCATTCCTGGTGTCAGGGAACTGTTCCATGTATTAAGGTGGATATTTGGAAGCTGTTCAATCTGTACACTTATTGCAGTGCTTGCAGGGTAATTATTAATGTGCAGAGCAAGGTCCTGATTTACACAGCCTTTCCTATACTGTGCTTTTTTAAACTCTGTAGCAAATACTGTAAAAATCCAACCTGATCAGAAATCCTCCCAGATTTTCATTTCACCTGAGGAATGGATGGGAAGCAGAGCACTTCCAGCTGAGCCCAGACAGGGAGTATTTGTTGTTCTATGACTTCATTTATTTTGAAATTCAGAAACAAAACTGACTTTGAAAATGAAGACGTTTTGGTTCTTGCAGAAACCCTTTTCAGTTCAGACCCCTGGAGATTCTATCTTGTTTTTGATGGGAGAAGCAGTGAAAGTTCTCAGCTGTTTGTGCGAGCAGCAGCAGTGGCTGTGCTGCGCAGAGCACCGTGTCCTCTCTGTGATAAAACCCCCTCCTGTGCTCCCTGCACAGCTCGTTTTGTCCTTTTCCAGTGCTTTGGAACTTTGGGGTACTTATCCTGAAGAACAGTTTCAGGTTTCCAAGCACAGTCTGCAGCTGCCAGGAAAAATAAACTTGTATTTTCAGCTCCTTCAGAGCAGCTGTAACCAGGGGGGGTTTAAACTGGGGCAACATTAAGAAATGGGGAAATAAAGCTTGTCCAGGGCACCCTGAAACACTGTTTATATCAATCTATATTTAAATTCCTAAAGGTTGTTGTATGAGTCTTTAATTTATATTTTTGGAAAGCTCTTTTCTTTCCTCTGGATAGGGTTTCTTTCTGTTTATCCCAATGTCTCTAAACATCTCTCTTTTTTTTTTTTCTTCTTCTGTAAAAACAAAGTTTCTTAATTGGACTTGAACTGTTTGAGCAGGTGCTTGCGTGTTCCCTGCTTCAAGGTTAATAAGTGGATCTGTTGGAAAAGTCTGTTTCCCAGTTTAATAAGTGGCCTTTCCATTGGATGGGTGTTACATGCTCTGTGTTTTGTAATCAGTCCTGAGTCCTTCATTCCTGGCAAAGGGGCTGCAGATTCCACAGCACCCCAGTGCCATGGACACCACAGCAGCAGCACTCAGGAATTATTTGTGTGAAGATTGTGGATTGCATCACTTTATTCACTGTCCCTCATCTTGCTTCCTTCACTTGGATGTGAGTTGTTGGAAACCCACAGAAATAACATTTATCTGGTAACCCCAGATTCATTAATGAAATAGCTTTACAAAACACGTTTCATTTCATTTTCCATGAATACCTCCAACCTAACTCAGAAGTACTTTAGCATTTCAGTGGGAGTTCCCACATATCAAATTGATGTATCTTGGGAAGTTGCCAGGAAGGAAAAGTGCTGCTCTAGCTGGGGTTTGCTAATGAAGATTTTTGTCTTTATTTGTTAAAGCAATAACATCATCTGATCTTAAATGTTCCAGAGCAGCAAATTGTTTGAATTGTTTGGATTTATTATTATTTCTTAGAGTGACTGAGGTTTTTTTTAGTGGAGCCTGTTTCTCTGAGGCAATCTGAAGCATTTTCTCTCCTTGCAGATGTCCCGGGAGCAGACAGTGTGCAAGTACTGCGGAGTCAGCTACCTGACACTGCATGAGTTCAAGGTGATGGAAGACAAAGTCAGAGCCATGGAGAAGGAGATTAAAGTTTATAAGGGAAGTCTGGAACGGGAGCAGAGGCTTCAGGCAGAATTGCAGGCTCTCCACCACGACCTTGAGCGCTGCCGGGCTGAGAGCGAATCCAAAACCGAAAGGTCAGAGCTCATCATCTCCTCTGGTGATCCTCTCCTGTGTGTGGCGGGGAATTTCAGCCCAAAGCAGCTTCAAATACAAATAACATTTGTCTTTCGTTTCTCAGATGGCCCATATGCACTGCAATACTTGATTTAAATCATCTTTCCTAGTGTCCTGTGGGTGCAGGTTCAGAATTCCTGAGCAGTTTAGAAGTGGTCAATATGTGGAAGGTGAAGGAAAGGCCAGAAGGCACTCAGAGGGATTTCCCCTGCACACACTCCCCAAGGGAATTGATGAATATCTCATCATCTTGTCATAAATCTCTAATGTTCCCAATGAAATTCCACAGGACTGGGAGTTCCACAGGTCTGAAATTCGGGCTGACTGTCTCACAATAAAGAATTCCCAGTGTTTTTTCCTGGCAGTCTCAGGATTCCCTCTCTGCAGGGCTGGTACAGAACCCCAAAGCAATGAGGAGCAGTTTGGGAACTGCCAGGGGCATTTTGCTTCGCAAACAGGAGGTTTCCAATCCTTACAGAGATGGGAAGGCCCCAGTTAAAGGGGAAGTTTTGTACCATAAAACTCCAGTAATTATTGATAGATCTCAGAGCCACATTTGGATTTTCAGGGCACAATTAGGAGCTTTAAGTGTGTTCTTTCAGCTTATATTTACAGGGTTTGTATCCTTTTCTATGCACATATTTTGGAATCTATTGTTATATTCCATTAATTGATTATAGTAGAACTATAAATAATTGATGTTTTTAGTCAATTAATAAAAGATACTTTATAAAAATGCTGTTTGCTTGAGTTTTCTACTGATGGATTGAGGCTAACAGAATCTCCAGGGTAACCTTTTGCTCATCTGACTTAGACAGAAATTTTTTGTAAGGATGAGGTTCTAATTTTAATTATCAGCTCAGTTTGACTTTTGGGATTCCCAGGAGGAGTGTTCCTTGTGTGACTGCCTCACACCAAGGGATCTAGAGCTGAAGGTGGTCTTGAAATTGGATTGAAATACTTTGGAAACCTGCTTTTTTGGGAGAATCACTCAAATACTGTTTAAAAATTAACTTAATTAATGGATTTAGTTAGGGTTTTGCATGCTAATATTATTAACAAAATATTCTTTTTAGATCACAAGTTCCTGGAAAAGTGAGCAAAATGCATTTATCTTGTAAATTACTCATATTTCTTGCAATATTTTTTTCCTTTAACATCTTCCACCCCTCCTTCCCAATATTTAATATTTTCTGTGGTTTAACATCTATTTTTAAAGCTTGTTTGCTCCATGTCCCCTTAATGACCCAGGGTGGCAGCTCTGGTGGCAGTGTGTGAGCAAATGCACTGACAGCACATTCTTCTTGTCGAGGATCATTTGCCAGAGCTAAACTTTAAATTTTCATCAGGCTGACTTTTTGTAGTAAAGCTGGAACAGTTAATAAAATTTTTATCTCTGCACTTTTCCCCCCTAAGGCTCCACTTGATTTAAAAGCTGCTGAAATCAAGCGGAGTACTTGCAGTAGGTTTCCATTCCAGCCATAAATCAACCCTTGTGCCTTGTTAAGAAACTTGGCTGAATATTCCTTATCTCCTTGCTGTCCCGGGCCTCTCTGACTGCCCTGTGCTGTGGTATAAACTCTTCAACATCCTGGGTCTGGCCAGGCTGACAAATCACTGCTCCCAGAAGCCAAACATGCCTTTTTCTTACTTTTATCTCTGCTAGACCAAGGGATTGAATCTCTTATCAGCTACAGACTGTTTCAGGTTTCTGTTCCCTCCAGGTTCAGGTATAACCTTGAAAGGCACCTGGAGTTTGCCTGTCCTCAGTTACCTTTCCTTTGGGATCCTGGCAGGAGGAGGGGAACCAACTGCACTGATCCCACTCAGCTTATTCTGTGTTAGAATCCCTTCAGTCTTGATAGTTGATCAAATTATTACTAATTGAATTAGCAAGATTCAGTGTAGGAAATGTAAAATAGCTGTAAATGCATATGCACACATGCCTTGAACGCTTCCAGGGGTGGTGACTTCACCGCTTTGTGAACTGAAAATGAGCAGCTCCCAGCTGTGAAATGAAAGTGGACAGCTCCAAAGTTTCATGGCAGTGAAAATGCTGGGGTGGAGCTTTTTTTCCTGGACAGAGTGTTCCAGGCTCCTGTGTGCATGCTGTCCTTGCTGGCAGTGCCAGTGCTGCTCCATCCCAGCTGGATGTGCAGGGCAGGGATGGTTCCTGTGCTGGGCAGGGATGGTTCTGTGCTGGGCAGGGATGGTTCTGTGCAGGGCAGGGATGGTTCTGTGCAGGGCAGGGATGGTTCTGTGCTGGGCAGGGATGGTTCCTGAGCAGGGCAGGGATGGTTCCTGTGCAGGGATGGTTCTGTGCAGGGCAGGGATGGTTCTGTGCAGGGCAGGGATGGTTCTGTGCAGGGCAGGGATGGTTCTGTGCTGTGCAGGGATGGTTCTGAGCAGGGCAGGGATGGTTCTGTGCAGGGCAGGGATGGTTCCTGTGCTGGGCAGGGATGGTTCCTGTGCAGGGCAGGGATGGTTCCTGTGCAGGGCAGGGATGGTTCCTGTGCTGGGCAGGGATGGTTCCTGTGCAGGGATAGTTCTGTGCTGGGCAGGGATGGTTCCTGTGCAGGGCAGGGATGGTTCCTGTGCAGGGCAGGGATGGTTCCTGTGCAGGGCAGGGATGGTTCCTGTGCAGGGCAGGGGTGGTTCCTGTGCAGGGCAGGGATGGTTCCTGTGCAGGGCAGGGATGGTTCCTGTGCAGGGCAGGGATGGTTCCTGTGCAGGGATGGTTCCTGTGCAGGGCAGGGATGGTTCCTGTGCTGGGCAGGGATGGTTCTGTGCTGGGCAGGGATGGTTCTGTGCTGGGCAGGGATGGTTCCTGTGCAGGGATGGTTCCTGTGCTGGGCAGGGATGGTTCTGTACTGGGGAACGCCTGCAATCCCCCGAGCACAGCAGCTGCTCCTCTCTGCTTCGGGACAGTGAGGCTGAGTGTGTTCCTGCTGCTTTCCTCGGGCTGAGATGCTTCCCTCGCTGTGTGATGGGCTGAGATCACCGTGTTCCCTCTGTTCCCTAAATGCCAGCTTTTAACCATCCACTGGACTCTCCCTGTGTGCTAAAAAGCCCCAAAATAACCTGTTTATTTTGCTTCCTTGTGATGGTAACAGCGGAGTGCACTGCCTTGCCTTTTCCACAGGTTCTTTAGTGTGTGACTGACCAGGACATGCTGGAAACATCCCTTTAATGTCAGCTCTGGAATGGAAAGAGGAAGAAAAAGTGTCTTTCCTTATTTACCAGTTTCTTTTTAATCCAAAAGATCTTCAAATACGCCCCCTTCTAGAAGAAGAATGGAAAATGAGCATCTAGCTCTCCCTGGCTCCCAGAGTTTGGATGTGTTATTGGTCAGTGATAAGTCACTGCTTTGCTTTTTTCCTTAGCTGCAAACTTAGATTTGAATTCCTGTAGCTGTTTAGGGAATGGACATTTTCTTGTGAGTGACAACAGGTCTGCTGCCAACCACAAGCCAAAAGATTTTATCTCTCCCTCCTGCTCTCCACCTACTGGAAATTTGCAGGTAGCAATGGGTAAAATTTCCTAAAAATGTAATGCCAGGAATGTCTTCAATTTTTTTTTTTTTTTTCCTGTTTCAGGGATCACAATTGAGGCCCAAAAACTTGCCTTTTAACCCCCAGATGTTAGTTCAGATTTTGTCTGTGGATCCAGTTTTCTGAACCAGGACTAATGTTTTTTAAAGGTGCATTTTGGTGCTGATCTGTGTGATAACAGTAACTAATGCACTGCTATAGTTTGGTTTAATTTTTACGTATTTTCAGCATACATCATTTTCATTCTCTTCTGCTGTTTAAAATGGAAGCCAAGGCTGATGCAGTGCTTCTGCCAGCCTCTGGTTTTGTAAAATTCTTGTCTATTCAAACATTACTTATTTACTTGTGGTAGTGAGTCACCCCAGACTAATAGATCATTTTCTCTGTGTGAGCAGTAGGTGTTGAAAGCTTAAACAGGGGCTGGTTTTTAACAGTTGCTTGTCACTGGAGTGGTATTTTTGGGGCTGGAGGGCTGCTCTAGGATGGTTATCTACAGAAAACAGCTGGGGCTGATGTGCTGTGTGGGATTGTTCCTCAGTGTACCACAGGAAGGGAATTGGATTCAGCTCTTTTATTCCTGTGCAGTTCCATTCATTTCCTGACAATTACGGGAGCAAATGCTGAATTGTTGAAAGAGCAATGTTTGAACTGTGTTTATTTACACTGGGGTAGCTGTGCCTGAAAAACAAACTGGTGCTGCAAAGAAAAGTTCCCGAGGTAAGTGGCAGAGGTGAAGAACACCTTGGGGGATGGTTCTGGAGGTGTTTGCTGTGCCTGAGGCCAGCACAGAGCTGGCTCCTGCCCTGAGAAAGCTGAAACCAGAGTTGGAGGTTAATTATTGCTGCAAACAATTCTGATCATTTTATTTACATCTGTAGGATAAAAACCCTGACAGTGGAACTTAAAACCAAGCAGGAGGAGATGAAAACTGTAAAAGCTGATTTGCAGTATTTCCAGGAGGAGAAGGAAGCTGCCTACAAGCAGTCACAGGTGCTCAGGTGAGAACCCAAAAAGAAATGCTGATGTTGGAAATGCTCTATTTCTTACATATCTATTGTTTATAAAGATTCACCATAAACCTGGGCATGCAGTCATTTAAACATGATTACTCTGATTTCTCAATTAAAAATGATTGTACAATTTCCTGTACTAGATTTTGAAATGATGAAACAAACCCAGTTTTCTTCATTTATGTATAAAAGCTCTAAACATTTAGATGGGGAAACTTATTATACACATATTCAATACACAGCACATTTCATACACTTAGTTATTGTAACCCAATGCAGTATAAATTATCAGATAATGGGAAAGTAGTAGTCAAGCTTAGTTTAATTCCCAAGTTTTATTTATAGAATAATTTATAAATACACATCTGGTGTATTTCCTTTCTTGCAGAACTACCTTGGAACACCATTGCTCCACCCTGAACAAGGCTGTCTCACTGTTCCCTTTCATTAGAAGTGAATTAGACAGTATTAAAGAGGTCATCTCCACCAACATGGAGAACTTTGCTGCCATGAAGGAAGAAATTTTTCGGCAAATAAAAGCCATGAGCAAAGAAGCTCTGACAGGTAAATCATCCTGCAACCATTCTGGGCAAGAGAAAAAAGGATCCTCCAGGTAGTCCAGCATCCTTGTGGGAGCTGCTGGAGTGTCCTGCAGTGCTGCCCCCCAAACGGGGCAGGCTGCACCCCTTCCCTCCCGGCTGACTGGGAGGGCAAGTGAAGGAAAAGAGGAAAATCATGAAGGTGGTGGAATACAATCCTGCTGTTCATTGTCCAGCTGAAGTAGAACATCAGGCTCTGAGAGTAAAATTCAAAGAATTGGTCTCACTTTGAGTGCAGGACCAGCAAGGCCTTCAGAAATAGTAATCAGACATATTCCTTTCCTAGAGTTTGTCAGTGTGGATGAGCTGCTGTTTCACTGAATCACAGAATATCCTGAGTTGGGGAGGATCCACAAGGATCAAGTCCAGTCCTGGCCATGCACAGGACAGCCCAAAAATCCCAGATTAACCAGATTAACCTCTGGGGGTCACTTTGGTCAGGGCTGTGAGGGCAGGCTGGGGGCTGTGCATCTCCCACCTCCCCCATCCCTGTGAGCTCCGGTGCAGATCCACAGCTCCGGTGGAACCTTTGTTCCTGGAGCTGTTTGGCACAGCAGCTGCCCAGTGGGCTGTGAGCAGTGAATTCCTCAATGATTGCTTTGTTCCCACTGGGAAGGGCTCTGGGGGAAGCTGTGCCTGGAGGGGATGAACCCACTGAGACACTGAGGCAGCACCAGCAGGAGCTGGGGGCCCTGGGCCTGCTGCAGATGTGAGCCCAGAGCATCCCTCCCCTACCCTCCCTCCTGTAGGAGCAGTGAGCTGCAGTGTCTGTGGGACACGGGAAGGTTCCTGTGTCCTGGGGATCCCTCTGTGTCCTGGGGATTCCTCTGTGTCCCCATTCCTCTGTGTCCCTGGGATTCCTCTGTGTCCTGAGGATTCCTCTGTGTCCTGGGGATTCCTCTGTGTCCCAATTCCTCTGTGTCCTGAGGATTCCTCTGTGTCCCGGGGATTCCTCTGTGTCCCGGGGATTCCTCTGTGTCCCGGGGGTTCCTCTCTCCCTGGGCTCACTCCCTGCCTGCTGCAGGCTGGAGGGAATGGCAGCACGTGTCTCTGCAGACATCTTCAGCCTCAGAGGGACCCACACATTTCAAGGCTTCTTTTCTGGAGTATTCCTTGTTCTGTTTGTTGTATTACTCCCAATATACAGAGGATCTGTGTGGAAGCAGGAGTGGAGCCTTTCTTACACAGGCTCTGTATCCCTTATCCAACATTTCCCACTTCACACCAGTGCCACACCAGGAATATCACACCCATCCTCAAATCCAGCTTTCTGCATCAAAACAATGTAGCCCCACAATATTTTTGTTGATATCATTTTAAAACTCTGATGTTCTTGTTCATGATTAACATAAAATAGTAACAGTCTACACGGGTTTGTTTTGCCTCCTCAGAAATACCCAAATTGAACCAAAGATTGGCAAAATCGCATCGGGAGAACGAGTGTCTCCAGGAGAAGGTCAAACACCTCACTGAGGTGGCTGACACAGTAGAGCTGAAAACTCAGCAGCTCCAGACTTCCCTTCAGCAGGGGAACGAGCTCCAGAGTCGGTGCCGTGAGCTGCAGAAGGAAACTCTGGGTAAGAGAAGTTTTTATCTTTTCTAGCAAAAATCCCAGGGGGAAAAAAATGGTTTTAAAAGCTCCAAAGTTGTGGTTGTTACTGTGAAAAGATTCAACAGGCCTGAATAAAAGGTGAGTTTCGTGCAGTCAGAAGGAGGGAATGTCATTCCAAGGAGTCTGGAACCTGCTGGAGCACCAGGCAGCTGACTGGGAGGGCAAGTGGAGAAAAAGAGGAAAAGCATGAAGGTGGTGGAATAAAATCTTGTTGTTAATTGTCCAGCTTAATTAGAACATCAGGCTCTGAGGGTAAAATTCAAGAATTGGTCTCATTTATTATTATATGGCACAGAATAACAGAATCATGTCTTACGTGTTCATTTTGGATTGGTTTGTTTTTATAATACTGTTAAAATGCTCCAGCAAAGACACCTTCTGTCTTTGCAGAAATAATAATGAGCAGTGGACATGAAATCTCATCAGGTGATCTCTCACATTCTGAAATACATGGGTTAGCATCATGACATCAAACACTGGTACTGCTGGATTTATGTGATGGGAAAAGTGCCCTTAGCTGAGCTCCCTTTTCCCCTCTCCTTACTCCAGAGGTTGCTGCAAACAATGAATTCAAGGTTTGTTCATGAGCATGGCAAACAAACACTTCCATTTTCAGCTTTGCCCTCCTTTAACTCCATGTACAATTGCCTGTTCTTATCTTGAAAGAGAGGTTTTTGCAGTCTCTATTTTATTCTATTTTTAAAGGTTGTTCAATGCGTTCTATGGGGGACCTGCATGGCTTCTTGGATCTTCTGAAAACCTGAATTTGCTTCCCTGAATTGGCACGTTGCATCAGCCCATCACAATTAATTATCACAGAATCCTGGAATGGTTTGGGTGGGGAGGGACCTTAAAGCTCATCCCACTCCACCCCTGCCATGGGCAGGGACACCTTCCACTATCCCAGGCTGAAAACTTGCAGTGAAATATAAAACAACTGAGACTTTATGGAGAAAACATAGCTAAAAACACAGCTAATTCCATATATGGAATTCATACAGAATATCAGGACCCTGCAAAATCTTAATGATGAGTAAAAGTACCATCTAAGCTGCTTGATGTTTTATGTGAGACATTTTAAAACTTATTAATGAAATGTAGCAGTCACTTGCTAATAAATGAGTTATTAAGGAGCAGTAAAACGTTTGATGTGGGTATCCAGAAGGAGGATTTCAAGGCAGGAAAGCTGCTGGCTCAGGCATTTGGATTCCACCCTTCCTGAATGGATCAGTAAAACACAAATCCAGGAGGATTTCAAGGGGTCTGGCTCTAGGGAACACATTGCTGGACTGAGGTAATAAACCCAGTTAATGCACTGCTGATAAAAATGGTTCTCTTTGAAATACCAAACAGGATTTTTTTCATGAAACAATCATTAAATATGAAATGAGTTTGCCATTGTATTAAAATAAATGAGTGGGAACAAACATCATCTTACTGGAAATCAGTTCCAGGGAGTGGATTTGTCCTGTCCAAAGTGGGCTGTGGAAATCAGCCACATCCTGAGTGTCCCTGCTTTGGGGGGGAGCTTGGGGTTTTGCCTTATTTTGCTTTTTTTTCCTCCCACAAACTTCTCCAAAGTCCCTCTTTGAAATAATTTGACACTTCAGAAATAATAAAAACTACCAGGATTTGTGATTTACTTGTTTTTAAAGGATTTTCCTTTTTGCAACCAATATTTTGGTTGCACGTTTCTCACAGAATTGTGAAGTCATGATTATTTCACATCACAGCAGGCATTTGCAAGAGCAGGAGCCAAGCAGTTGTTCCTGCTGTTGTTTTTTGCTCTCATGCTTGTGGAGACTTTCTGGAGATTCCCTTTGTAGGGGATTTGTGGGATCAGTTGGTTTGCTGGCTTCAAGCCACTTTTCAGCCTCACAGAGCATCACCCACTTGAAGGGAGGTGACAGGTTTTGACAAATGCTCAACACAGGGTAAGGTCTGCTGGGTAATTGTTTAAGCAATTAAACTCCCCAAATCAAAAATCAATAATGGTGGTGATGTGTCTGTGTTCTCAGTGCTGGCAGCAGCAGGGCTGCAGTAGCACAGGCTCCTAAAAGATTTTTACCAGCTAAATCCTTTACTTAATCACAAATTTTAAAAATCAGTTTTCTGCCCCAAAGTCCTTGTGGCTTTTCTTTAGCTCATGACAACTCTGGCCTGGCTCTGGATGGGTTGAAATTACGGGTGATGCTCCCAAAATCCAAATTTTCAGTCTTTGGCAGCTCCAAATGTGAACCTGGTGGTCTGCTGCCTTAATGAGGCTGATGAGAGGGGATGGAAAAGTGCAGAGAGCTGGAGAGGGAATGCTGGCACTGCTCATGGAGGGGAGAGGGAATGCTGGCACTGCCCATGGAGAGGAGAGGGAATGCTGGCAGTGCCCATGGAGAGGAGAGGGAATGCTGGCAGCACTCATGGCAAGGAGGTATTTTCATCTCCTGAAGTGTCTTTAATGGCACTTTAAAACCCACTCTGAAGAGCTTTGAAAATGCAAAGGGGGAATAGTTTCCTGCAGTTTTAGGCAGGCTGCAGCTCACACAGCCCCTGTTCATGCTCCAAGTGCTGTTGAATTGTATTTTTTGTGAATTCCAGCAGCGGTGGGAAGGCTGGGGAGGGTGAGAGCTGGGGAATGCAGGCTGCTGTTGGAGCAGGGCTGCTCATTAGGGCTTTGCAGCAGCCTGAGTGCAGGAGGAGGCACAGGAATCCATGGCAAACAATCCCAGCTCCCTGCCAGGGGGCTGGGACCAACCTGCTGGGGAGTGGGACTGAGGGAAGGGCCACACTTTGCTTCTTGAGGAAAAGCAGGAGTCCAGGTTCTCCTATGGAGCAGGGAGAGGAGCAGCTCCAGGGAGAGCTCAGAGCCCTGTCAGGGGCTCCAGGAGAGCTGGAGAGGGGCTGGGGACAAGGATGGAGGGACAGGACCCAGGGAATGGCTCCCACTGCCAGAGGGCAGGGATGGATGGGAGATTGGGAATTGGGAATTCCTGGCTGGAATGGAATTCCCAGAGCAGCTGTGGCTGCCCCTGGATCCCTGGCAGTGCCCAAAGCCAGGTTGGACACTGGGGTTGGAGCACCTGGGACAGTGGGAGGTGTCCCTGCCATGGCAGGGTGGGATGGATGGGATTTAATGTCCCTTCCAACCCAAAACATAATTCTGTATTAAAGGATGTGTCTTTACTGTACTTTGTTTTGTCTGCTTGGCCTAAGCAACGAGGGCAAAAAATTATCCCCAAGGAAAATTAAGGTCAGAATCTCCATTTTTTTCCTGTTCAGTTTTCCCAGCCAATAAGGAAGGACAGCATTTCAAAGCAATGCTAATGTGTAGGAGAAGCAGGTCTGTAGGAATTTTGACATATCCCAATTAGCTTGGCTTCAAACAAGCAGGAATACAGGCAGAAAATTCAGGCTTTAGACCCAGGCCTTTGATGCTGGAGTGTGAATTCTGGCCATGGATGAGCAAATCCAATCCTTCTGAGTGCTTGTACTGTGTCAGTGGGGGCGTGGGAGGGGAGCAGGCTTTGCCAAAATAACATTTTTTCCCTATTTAAGGATTTTTAAGGTCTTGGAGATTGTCATGTTTGCACGGTTGCAGTTGTTGGTTTATTCTGTTGAAGCTGTCCTTGATTTGTGCCACTCAGAGCTATTGGGAATCTGGTTCCTTTTTCTGCTTTTCTCTGTTTGGAGGTGAAAGAATGAAGCAGAGGCCAGGGAGCCCAGGCTGGCAGTGCTCAGCAGCCTGTGCTGGGGAGATAAAGCTCAGCCACTCCTCTCCTGGCACATCCTCCCAGTTCCTGGCAGCTCTGAGTGATTTGGACACTTCCTGATGGCACTGGTGAGGTCTCCAGAAAGGATCTAAATCTGGAGTCCATCCCTGTGCTCCTTCCAGGCTTTGTGAGTCACAAATTAAATGAAGGACTTTGTTGTGTAGACAAAAAAAAATTATCTTCGAGAACACAGTAGATGAGCTATTGCAAATACAAAGAATTAGTTCTGTTCTGTGCAGGGCCTTGGGGGTTACTTCACTTCTTTGGTCTCCTTAGAAACACGTGGTGAGGCAGTTTTCCTGCTCTGAAACCGTAATTTTTCATGCATGTATTTCATATTTCTCACACACTGTCTGCTATGCTCTTGAAATAAATGTACTGGAAACTATCTGTGTAAAGTGCACATCAGAATTTGCCTGGAATTAGTGTTCTGAGAAAAATTAAATATTTTTGCCTCCTTTGACACAGCTGATTGGCCAAACTCAGGGCCCATAGAAGGGATGGTTATTAAGGTTTTAAATAATTGCTACAACTTCCTATTTCCCAGAGAGAAAATCCAGTAAGAGGGGCTGGGTTCCAGTCTGCCCTGGCTGGGGGTCTGTGTGCTCTGTTCCAATTCCTGGCTCATCTTCCAGCTCTGAGCTCATCCCAAAGCTCAGGAGGGGAGAGGAAGGGGAGGGTCCCAATCCCAACCCTGGGATTCCATGATCTATCTGAGCAGTGCTTATGAACCTCCCCATGGAATCTTAACTACAGGGAAATTATCTTTTTTTGTGCACATGTATGAAACTTTGAGCTTTTATTTAGATTACCCCCAAATTGTTGGCAATTGGATTGGATTGGATTTTGTAGGTTTTGCAGGAAAAGCAGAAAATTACACAGCTCTACCACGTGTGCCTCTGATCCAGCCTCACTGGGAATCTGTTAGGAATTAGCTGTGGAGCTGATGGCTTCCAGAGTGGCTGCTTACCCAATGTGCTGCCTATTTATTTTTATTTTTCACTGAAAACTTCACCAGCTGTTGCTGTTTCCAGGCAGCAGCTGGGGCACCGTGCCCTTGGATGCAAAGTGGGTGGTTAAATTCCTGAAAGCCAGCTGTGGGCAGGCTCTGCTGGCTTTTTGCACACACCAGGGGCTGCAGTGATGCAATTTGCCCAAGGAAGAGGAAACAGTCCCCAGTTTGTTGTGTTTCTGTTTCTGTGGCTCGTCAGGCCCTCGTGCACGTTGGGGCTGTGCCCCTCTGTTCCTGTCCCTGTCCCTGCACGGCTCACAGGAGGTTACTGGAAAGTTGGTGACTGCTGAGAGCCATTCTGAGTCACAAAAATAAGTAAAATTCGACATGAATGAAACTGAGATGGATTTGGCCTGCTGAGCCTTTGAGATGTGGTGGTTCTTGCAGCACTGAGCCCAGTATCAGTATTACAGAGTGTGAGTTTTCTCTTGGCTTTGCATGTTTTGCAAGAGGCTTTATTTTCATTACCAGAGAACATTTTTACATAAGTGTTTGAATACATTTTCCTCTATTCAGCAAGTTTGCAGTGCAAGTTTCCATTTGTATTGCCATTCTCCTTATTAGTTGCCTCATTTTTGTCATGGTTTTCACTGAAATCTGCCTGCATGGGTGTGGGACTTTCTGCTCCCCAGCTCCCATTGACTTTGGTGGGAATTATCTCTAAAGAAGACTTGCAGAAACTATTTGTGTAATTAAATCCATCTATTCCCTCATTAAAAACTCCTGCCCGTGCTCAGTGAGCATGAAAACTTCTGAGAACAAATGGAGTGAAAGAGGAAACAGCTTTGAGAGAGACCACCCAAAGTACAGAACCAAACCAAGCATCATCCCTCTGCTTTTCCTTTATTCCAGAACTTGTGTCCACACTCCCACACTGAGGGAGAAGAAAAAACACCACAGTTATTAATTCTTGGCAGAAATCTTTTAAAAGAACAATTTAAAAAAGGTCAGAAGCAGCTGTTTGGGAAAATCTCCAGAGCAGCCTGTGAGGATGGGCAGAGGGTCCTGCTCTGCCTGGTGTCCATCCACACCAATCTGGGCTTCATCTGTTGTCACAGGCACGTTCTGCTGGCAGGGCTGGCTGTTCCCAGGGCTGGGCCTCACATCTGCTGGGCAGCTGAAGCCACAGCTTCTCCTTTGCTGCATGAATTCTGCCAGGAGATGGAACAGGACAATGGCCAGTGAGGGAGCAGCAGGGGCTGCAGGTGGCCTGATGTGTCCAGAGACACAAAATTGCCACCAATTGTCACAGCCTGGGGCTCTGCTCACCCACTCGATGGCAGTGACAGCACCTGAGGGCTGTCCCACAGGTGAATTCCTCCAAAATGGCTTTGTTTGGTTGTGGCACCCACGGCAGGTGGGAGAAGCTGCTTCTACAATTCGCTTCCATGATTTTTCCAAGAGTTCAGTCAATCCAAGAAATTTTACTTTTCTCTTCAAAAAGTTGTTTATAAATGCTGATGGTTTGGGAATGGATCTGACAGGTCCTGTGTGTTTTACCCTATATAATTCTCTCCCTGATTTATTTTGTTGTAGTCTAATGAACTATTTTCCTTTTCCCTTTACTGACAAGAGTGGACTCTTCCAATTGTAGGATTTATCAGACAAGATGTGCCTGGCAGGAAATCCCACACTGAGATCATCCATCATCATTGCTGGAAATGACTGACAGAGACATGTGGGAGAAGTTACAGAAATTCAGGCAATTGGGGTGAAATGATAAATTTAAGAACAGGAATGTCAGATTTGGCTTCTGGGAAGATACATCAGGGAACTTTGAAGGACTGTCTTGGGAGCTGTTTCCTTCAGACACAAGGTCACCTCCTTTTGTTTGCTGTTGCTTTCTGTGGAATAATCTTGGTTGGTTTTTTTTCCACTTCCAGATCTCTTGCAATGATTTTTCATTGGACTTTTTCCCATGTATTTTTTGCTGCTGTCCTTTTGGCAGAAACTTTTATTTAAAATAATTTCTAGGCTTTCTGGAAAGGCAGCTCTTGTTCTCGAGGATATTTAGAGATGCCCAAGTTGCTGTGGCTGCCCCATCCCTGAGGTGTTCCAGGATGGGACAGTGGAAGGGAGCTGGGGCTGGATGAGCTTTAAATCCCTTCTAACCCAAGGCATTCCATGATCCTGGGATGTGTTCATGGAGATGAAAATCAGATTAAGCCATGTGCTGCTGCTTCAGTTTAAAGGGCTTCACATCTGCAAGTTATGGCTGTTCTGAGGATTTAAAAGCATAGAAAAGGATGCTATTAAGGCAGACAAAAAAGCAGGGATTGTACTGGGAAAAAGGCAGTAACTGATTGGAGCTGAGGTGATGTGTTCTGAAGGATAACATGCAGAGGATAAGACAAGTACAACAGCATTAAATTACTGCCAGGGTTTCAGATGAAGTAATTTCCAGGTGAGTTTTGGGGCCACCTTCTAGCATCTGTTTGCTCTCAGCTTTGTGTACAAACAATCTGATCTAAAGCAAACAATCTGATTCCATGTTTCAGTGTAGCTGAATGTGGTGTTTTCTGGTGGGATAAAAAGCCCCAAACACACAAACAAACCCCAGCTTTTTGCTGCAAAGACCCTCTGCTCGTGTGCACTGCTCTGCCTGAGGCGGGAGCAAGGAGCTGCAGGTCCCACCTGGAAACAAAGCACTAAAGGGGATTCATGTAACATTAACAGAGCCACAACCTCGTGTTTTTGCTTTCAGATTTAACAAATCAGGTGGAGACAGCTGGCCTGCAGCTGCAGAAGGTGACAGCAGAGATGGAGCACTACAAGAAGCTGTTGCTGTAAGATTCCCATTCCTTCATTGCTTCCCATTGCACATAAAACACATAAACCACTTTTTTTTTTTTTTCTTTTTTTTTTTTTTTCAGCAAGTGCTGCTTATTAAAATGCTCTGAGAAGGTTTTGACCCACAGGGGAACTATTTTATCTTCATATGATTATTTCTGAGCACCTGCCTGAGCCAGCCTGGCTGTGGGAGCAGAGCTTCCTTCCTCCAGCAGGGAATGCTGGAACTGCAGAGGAGGGATAAGGAGCCTCATGCAGTGCCTCACCTAACACACAGGTGTAGGATGCATTTGGGGAAATCCACAAAACTTCAGGACTAAAAATGTGTATATCCACATTTTTATGTAGGAAGGAAGGAGTATATAGTGAGAAGGAAGGCATATATAGTGACAGAGCACTGCCAGAGGGAGGGTTAGGGGGGATATTGGGAAGGAATTGTTCCCTGGCAGGGTGGGCACGCCTGGCACAGGTTTTCCAGGGAATTTGTGGCTGCCCCTGGATCCCTGGCAGTGCCCAAGGCCAGGTTGGATGGGGCTTTGAACCACCTGGTCTATGGAAAGTGTGGGTGGAACAAGATGGGCTTTGGGGTCCCTTCCAACCCAAACCATTCCAGGATTTTCTCCCATTTCCAGAGCACACCCAGCCACTCAAACATCCCCAAAGCAGGAGCCTGACACCCCAACACCACAAAACATCACAAATTCCACAGCCCAGTGCTGAAAACCTCACTTGGGGACATCACCTCCAGGAGAATCCAGAGGGAGGGGCCAGAGGATGCTGAAAAGGGCAGAAATTGTGTTTGTGAGGCTCAGGAGTCAGGAGCTGGCACTGCCAGGCTCTCTGTCCCCATTTTCCCTGGAATCTGAGCAAAGGATTTGTGCTGTTCTGCTCTGCAATTTCTGGTTTCAGTTCCTTCATTCAGGGGGTCTGAACATGACTGACTTGCAAATATTTGGGATGCTTAGCAACAAAGTGCTTCAGTGATAATGTAAGGATTGAGTGGGAGACAAAGATGTCATGAACACAGTTAAATAAACAATGAGGGCTTTCCAAGTGTAAATTAACATTTCAGCATAATATGGGCACAGTTTAATAAAACAACATATTCTATATCTGTTTAAATGTAAATATGAACCTTAACCATGGTTATTAATTGGCGCAATGGTGACATAATGAAATGAAACCTGCAAAGTTTCCAGCCCTTTTACCTACAAAATTGGGATTTGTTCCATTTTATTAATTTATTACTCAAAACTGTCATCAATGTTGCAAGATCCCACTTCTTGTTTGCAACATTTGTGATCCATGGTGGGCTGAGATGTCACTGGAAATGTAACTTCCAATTATTAACAACCTTTGCTGGAGCTGACAGAACTTTCTGTTTGTGGCCTTTTACCTGAAATGGAAAAAGCAAGGAGGAAAATACACCCAGAAGTGATGTCCAGGCTGCTGCAGATTAAAGGCTCATTTCTGTGGATAATACCCTTTTTTCCCAATGTTTTTTAGGGTGAAGTCAACAGAACTCGATGTCTGTCAAAAAGAACTGAAAAAGATCAAATATGAGAATGGAATTGCTGAGTCCAGGTAAATGCTGAAAAGATATTTCATGTTTTTGAGCAATTACAGCAAACATTTTATTATTTTAATGCAGTTTTTATGCAATACATTTAAATTTTTTTCTGTTGAGTCAGTAGATTTAACTTCATAAAGAACACATGGAGTTTTGACCAATATTTTATTTTCCAGGCACCATTATTTCTATCTATGAATAAGAATATAGTAACTACAATTCTGCTGTTTCTTTATTTCATCTGTAGACTTACAAAAGAGCTGAAGGAAAAGGAGGAATCCCTTCTCGTTTGCCAACAAGTCTGCAAACATTTACAGGAGGAAGTGGCTGAGAAAGAAAGGAGAGAAGAAGATCTGAAAAGAAGAACTGGGAGATCAGAGAGTGAGCTGGAAACCCTTAAAGCTGTCCTGAGCCAAACAGAGCAGGAGGTGCTGATGCTGAAACAGGAAAGGTAAAGGGAGCTGAGCTGAACTCAGGTGCTCCTGAAAATCCTGGAGATTTTGGAGGTCATTGGATTGGGTTTTTAAATTATTATGGGACAGACAAAACGTGGATGGAGAGAAAAGAAAAAGTATTATTGGAAATAGGAGTAGGGAAGTTCTGCTTGGACTGCAGGGCTTCAGCTGGAGTTTCATCTGAGCCCCAAAGCCCCATTTTTGCAGCAGTTCAGCTGCTCTTTGTGCTGAAGGTGCAGGGAACATCCAAAGCCCTGAAATGCAGAACAGTTGGTGCCTCCTGGCACCTTTAAATGCTGAAAACAATCCTGGGGCTGTCAGGGGTAAAACTGGAGATGGAGGTTCTACTGCAGGTAATTTAAAAAATACGGATTCAGGTTGGTGAGTCCAAAGCAAAGGCACTCCAGCTCGATCCCATTCCAGGGAAAACAGCCCTCAGGAGCCCAGTGCTTTATTCTGCACATCTCAAAAACAATCCCAGGCACAATGGCAGCTTTGTTCACAGCTGAGACCCTTCAGAGCCAGACTGAGCTGGTGGGAAGCTGCTCTCACACCTCCCAAGCACCAGATCCTGTCCAAGACCCTGGCTGAGGGAACACTGAGGCATTTTTGAGGTGGACAAGTTGTTAACAACATCAGTGAGAGGAATTTAACCTCTCCAGGAGCCTTGCCCTACAGGCCCCACGTAACAAACAGTACCTTGAAGGACAGAAAGCACTCAGTGCTTTGCATTCCAAACCCATTACAATTTTTAAATTAATGATCCTAATATTCCAAGTTCATGAAATACAAGTTCTGGGTGGAATATTTTAAGTTTCTCTGTGTTCTTTGAAATTTGTCTTGAAAATATCAAAGAAGCATTAAAATGTCATTTGAAGTGGAAGATCAAGTACTGTATTTCCTTTAAAACATGAAATTCAGGAGGCGAGTGAGGGCGTGGTGGAGATTCCAGGTGGTGATTCCTGGGGCAAGGACTTCTTTGCAGGGCCAGGGGCTTGCAGCAGTGTGGGCAGAGCCCAGGTTTACCCGAATTTTGTGTTTTTAGGGAGCTGCTGAAGAGCAGGATGGAGCAGCTGCAGGAGGCGCTGAGGCAGAAGGTGCAGAGCGAGGACTCCTGGAGGGACAAGGTGACTCTGGGGCTCTGCTTTGGGGGTTTCAGTGTCCCACAGGGCACAGGAGAGCTGGGAATGATCTCCTCCAGTGCCACGTGTGCTGGAGCCATGGAATCACTCACAGCCTGCCTTGGAAATTCGGTCAGGAGCACAAAAATCCTCTTTGCCTTTGGCCTCAAAGCCCTCAGTTCACAGGGAAGGGTTTCTCTGGGGAGCCTCCTAGTCCCAAAAGCACATTTCATGTTTGCTGAAGTTCATGGAATCACAGGATCCCAGCCTGGTTTGGGTTGGAGGGACCTCAAATCCCATCAGTGCCACCCCAGCCATGGCAGGGACACCTCCCACTGTGCCAGGAGCTCCAACCCCAGTGTCCAGCCTGACCTTGGCACTGCCAGGGATCCAGGGGCAGCCACAGCTTGTCCATCATATCCTTTGCAAGGAGTTCTCCTGCCTCTTCCAGTGGGATTTGGGAAGCTTTTCCCATGAACAGCTGTCACCATGTCAACCTTGTTCTCATCTGCAGCTTTTTTCCCTGAACTGAATAAGAAATAAAAATATATTCATTTATCAAAATGAACAATGAATAAAATATATTTATGTATTAAAAAGAATTTTTAAAATATATTAAAAAGAATAAAATATTTAAATAAATACGTACATCAGTGAAGGAAAATTAAAAAGAAGAGCTGAACAGTAACTGTGACTTGTCTGATTTATTAATAATAAAGAATTCCATATAATATAATTAAAACTAAAATAAATAGTATACCATGTCAAATAATTAAAAAATAATATTACATCATATGTCATAATTATTATATAATAATTTATATTATTATACTACGGTAGTAATTATTAATACAAATATATCCTATTAAATATTAGTTTACTAATAATTATTATTATTATATTACAATAATATTATTATTAACATATATTAATGTATATAATTATATAGATAATAGAATTATAATATAATTATTGTTAATAATAATTGTTATTGATATTGTTATTATTATAAGAGTCTACTTCGAGCATCTTACAAATACAGCAATTTTTAAACTAACTTAGTGGGGGATTTGCACCTTTTCCGCACCCTGAATTTGGTATATTTTGCTTTAAAAAATAATGAAAATATTTCCAGTTTCTCTTTTCCCCCTAAAGACATCAGAGAGATTTATTATACTTCTGCTCATAATAATGTGTGGAATTAGATAATTGTAATTAAGCTCATTGTGGGCTTTTGTGCTTTTAATCGTTGAACTAATGAGGTTTGTGTTGTGCATTTAATGTGGCTGTTGTGCTCTCAGCCTGCTGCAATTAAATCCATCAGAATCAGCTGCACAAAGGCACAGGAACAGCCTGGGTTGGGAGAAGTGTTCTCCTAAATTCAGCCTTCAGGGGTTCCTGCAGGATCCAGAATTCCCTGCTGGGGAAATTACAGCTGAATTTCTAATGTGAATTATTGGAGATGCTGTAAGGACTGGGAAATTTCACCCAATATTCCATTTGGAGAAGGGTCTGGGATGAGCTCCTTGTGACCTGCCAGGGCCTGGAGGGGCTCCAGGAGAGCTGGAGAGGGGCTGGGGACAAGGGATGGAGGGACAGGACCCAGGGAATGGCTCCCAGTGCCAGAGGACAGGGATGGGTGGGAGATTGGGAATTGGGAATTCCTGGCTGGAATGGGATTCCCAGAGCAGCTGAGGCTGCCCCTGGATCCCTGGCAGTGCCCAAGGCCGGGTTGGACATTGGGGCTGGAGCAGATGGGACAGTGGGAGGTGTCCCTGCCATGGCAGGGGTGGCACTGGGTGGGATTTGGGGTCCATCCCATCCCATCCCATCCCATCCCCATCCCATCCCATCCCCGTGTGACAATGCCACTGACCCCTCTTGTCCCCCAGCTGGAAATGGACCTGGCCAAAGGGGAGGCTCGGCACAAAGAAGCAATTCTGAAAGTCAGGGAAGAGGCCAAAGTGGAGCTGGAGCTGGAGAGAAAAAACCAGCAGGAGCTGATCACAAAATACCAGAGGGAACACGAGGAGCTCCAGCAGAAGGTGTGCAATGCTCGGGAGAAACCTTGTGGCAGAAGATCACAGAAAACTGTAAAAAATGGGAACATGAAGGAATAAAACCTCTGTGTGTCATCCTCTCTCTGGATGATACAGTACTTTTTCACAGTCTTAGTATATTTATTTTTTGTATGGAACAAGCTGAAAATAACAATTCCAGTTCAAGTTAATTGGTGTGGAAGTTCTTTCTCATCTCATGCTTTCACCTCCAAAACTCCATCTATGTCCCCAGAGTTGCTAATTATATTTAATCTGACATCATCACTTTTTAAAAGCTTGGGATTGCTTCAGGCTATGATGAGGTGCCACAATCCCACCTGTATTTTTTCTCCTTCCCAAGGGAACCCAGTAAAGGCCTGCTGGGCTGGACTGGTGCTGCAGATCCCCCTCAAGTTTTATACAGACATTGACAAATTGTACCTGTAACCTGAGTTTCCAAAAGTTTTGATACAATTCCTGAGAAAATCTGAGAAATCTGGAAAAATGAAAGGAATGTGATGAGGTTTTATTATTATTTAAAATCTAGGACATTGTGATTTAGAGCTGAAAATAAGTTTGGCTTTGTTCACTTGGCAAATATTTAACCATGGTTTTTAAACCCTGAGGAAACACTGACTTGCAGTAAATTTAACTTGAAGTTAAATTTCCCCTTTTTTACCTCAATGTCTCTGATCTTGAGCACACTAATTAATCTCTGTGTTCTCAGTGAGTGGTGATTAATTTACAGCTCTCTGGTGTCCTCCGAGGGAATTATGTAAATTCAGAGCTTTTATTTCTCTCTGAGGACCTGCAAGTTTGAATTTGTTGTTTTTTTCCTCAAGTCACCATTTGTCTGCTCTTCATTCTCATATTTAGAGGAACTGAGTGGAGATTAACTCCTGTCTGATCTCACCCAGATCCCAGGTTTAATATCCAGTGCCACCAAGAGCTTGAGGATGGAGATGGAAATTCTGGAGAAGAAGCTCCAAGATGCACAAATGAAAGTGGCAGAGAAGGATGGAGACAAGGAAAAAGAAATCCAGAGCCTTAAAAGGCTCATCAGCGAGCTTGAGTTCCAGCTGACCATGGAAAAGAGCAACAGTGAATCATTCCTGGACAAACTGAGGAAAGAAATTAAGCACAAGTCAGATGAACTGGAAAAACTAACCCAGGAGAAGACACAGCTGATTCACAGTTTGAGTCAAGTTCAGGAGGAGGTAGGAACAGGACCCAGGAAATGCCTGGTTATTTTTACTTGGAGACATGTGATTTCTAAAGTCATTCAAAGGTCTGTGACCAGAAAATCCATTGAAATGCAAAGATTTCTCAAACAAATCCATCCTCATTTCCTAAATATGGTACATCACAAAAGATATGAAGTTTTAATTCAGCAAATGCTTAAATTAGTGTTTCATGGGAAAATATATTATTAAAAATTATATTTCAGATCCTGCAAGGCCTTTCTTAGCCCATAGCCTCATGTCCCACTGCCCAAATATGAGAAAACAAAAATGAATTCTCGGTTTTTAGAGTAGAAGACACGGATATTTCTCATTCCTTGAACTGGTGTCCCAGCTCCCACCAGTGCAACCACGTTCCCTAACTCAGGGATGCATAAAAATGAATTAAATGCAAAGAGAAATTCAACTGATGGATATTCTAACCACAAACATTTGCTGAATGCTTGGGATAGAATGGGCAGGGAGGAGAGAGCTGCTCCATGGGACATGTGGAGTCAGGGACTGCTGATAAGATTAGGCTGGAATGTCCAAAGCAATTCAGTGGCAGGAAAAATAATTGGTCAACAGTGAAAATAAAACTCTTCCCTGTGGATTAGTGCTGGGGTTGGTACTGATTTACTCCTTGGAAAGGTTGGGGAAGGTGTGAGTGGAATTCCAGTGAGCTGTGCCTGATCTGTGCCCAAGGATGGGGACATGGGAGAGAGGGGCCTTGGCAGTGCTGGGACAACATGGACTTCCCATGAGTGATTCCATGATTCCATGTGTTCATTCCTGGTTCCACTCCTGGTTCCAACACATGGTTCCACACCTGTTTCCACTCCTGGCTCCATGGCTCCATGCAGGCTGTGCTCTCCCACTGCAGAGGGTTACAGGGAAAAGCAGCATTAACCCCTTGGTGTCACTGCACCTCAGTCCATTACTGCCTTTCCTTCCAAGAGCAGCATTCCCAGTTCTCCCAGCTGGGCAGGAGAGCAGGAAAACCTTCTGAGCACTTCCCTGGCTCCCACTGGCTCCGGAGGGAGCAGCAGGACAGTGCAGGGCGGGTCCCTGTCCCAGGAGAGTCCGGGTGTGAGGGATGGGGCATTCCCAGTGTTTCTCCTTGCAGAATTAATTCCCTGCTGCAGGACATTCCCGTGTTTCTCTCTGCACAATTCCCTGCTGCAGGACATTCCCGTGTTTCTCGTTGCAGAATTCCCTGCTGCAGGACATTCCTGGTGTTTCTCGTTGCAGAATTCCCTGCTGCAGGACATTCCCGTGTTTCTCGTTGCAGAATTCCCGTGTTTCTCGTTGCAGAATTCCCGTGTTTCTCGTTGCAGAATTCCCTGCTGCAGGACACGGTGCGCCGGGAGTGTGAGGAGCGCTTCGAGCTGACGGCGGCTCTGGGCCGGGCCCGGGACCAGGTGCTGGAGCTGCGGCGGCTCAGTGGGACCCTCCCGGCCCCGCTGCCCCCCGGGGATCTCCGGGATCTCCGGGATCTCCGGGATCTGCGGGATCTGCGCCTCTCCGGAGCCCTGGGCAGCACCAGATCCCTGGATCCTCCCAAGGGAAGGGCGGCCAGGATGAGGCACCGGCCCAGCCAGCTCTGAGCTCCACCTGGGAAACCATTCCTCACCTCCTGAACTCACCCATTCCTGCAATTTAAAATCCAGTTGATTTTTTTTATTTATATTTTGTGCAATAACTTTTATCTATCCATTAATTTATTCATGGTGTAATTAAGTGCCGGGCGCATTTCAAGATGAGAAAAGTAAAAAAAGTCTCTCCAAGAGGAGCAGAAAGAGCAGCACATCTTCAGTGACTGGGATTGAAATCAGAAACCCCCTGGATGCCCGAAGGTTTGGGTTGGAAGGACCTTCACGTTCATCCCATTGCAATGCCCTGGCCCTGGGCAGGGAATAATGGCCCAGCACCGCAGCATCCAGGAGGGATGGGGCTGGGAGCAGCCTGGGCAGGAACCTGGAGGAGCTTTGAGATCCCTTCCAACCCAAACCAGCCACGATTCCACCATCTCAAACCTGGGCTCCTCTCCCCGTTTGTGTCCTGGAGCAGTAAAGGGCAGCTGTGGCCAGGGAGGAGCAGCACAGAAAATTCCGGGAGCAGGAGCGGGATCACGGCTCTGGCACGAGGGAGTGGCCAGGTCCTGGAGGCAAACCAAGTCCAGAACAAATATTTCCCTTCTCCCCCTTCCTCCCAGAACCTGCTGCTAAGCAATAAACAAAATCTGGAAATGTCAGGGACCCTTTTTTACCGGCTTTGAAAACAATTTAATGAATCTCACCATGTCAAGGAAAGTTTACCAAGTGTTTTCCATGGTGGGATGACAGGCAGAGCACAAAGTGCCACAGAGGATGTGGACACCTCATTACAGCCCTGAAATTTTAGGAAATCAAATTTCCTGTAGGAAGTTCTTGTAAGAGGCTGTCAGGGTCCCTGAGGCAAAGCCAAACAAACCTGTCCCTGTGGATTGTGCCCTGCTGGCCGTGGGGTGCTGCCCGCTCTGGAAGGAGCTCCTACAGCCCTGGAAGGAGCTCCTACAGCCCTGACCCTTCCCAGAAGGGATCTCCTGTGCCAGGGAGGGACATGGGGCTCGGTGGGCTGGGGCTGCTGCTCTGTGTGAGCCCCAGACACATCCCTGGCGTGGCCAAACCCCTCCTGACTGACCCTGCCAGGGGATCCCTCCCTGCTCCCAGGGCACAGAGGGACAGCACAAGAGCAGCCCTGGAATCTCAGCCAGTGCCTCAGGGGGCTCATCCTTTTCCCACCTGAAGCTGCCCAAAATGTTCTCCACAGATATGATGGAGAGTCCAGCTCCTGTCTGGTCCTACTGCTCCTTCAGCAGAAATTGGGATCAGCAGTGGCCATGCACAGCTTGCCATGGATATCACTTCATTCCCACTGGGATATCACAAACCAAAGCTGGGATGATCACTAGACCTTGCTCTGAGGTGTGTGTAGGATCTGAGATCCCGACTGTGCCTTGCAGATGGAGTTTTTCTGCAAAAGAAAAAATTGGACTGCAGGAAAAAGCATCTTAGTTCCTAAGCAGTGTTAAAAGTGCATGGAAATAGAAACTGATGCCACAGATCATTAAAATGTATTAATCAAAATAAAAGCATGACTGTCTTTCTTTGTACTGTGCATTTTCAATAACAAAATAAGAGTTAGGATAATGAAACTGGGGAAATTTCCTTTTGCAGATAACCCCCCACAGCTGCATTTTTAGTTAGTTAAAACAGGCCCTTATTTCCATCATGAAAATTCGATGTTGAATTTTGTCCTTGGTGGTTACAGGTGGTTGAGAGTGCCCTGCTGAAGGAAGAACAAACCCCAAAGAGCTGTGGTGGTGTGAAACACTAATCCAGGTTTTCATCCTCACAGCACGGAATTCACTGGGGTGGGTGATAAAAAGGGCACTGCCTGAAATTAATCTTGGGGGGATTTTCACACCAGGAATGTGATTTGTGTGGAGCATCCCAGCTCCCATGGATTGTTCTCCTTGGTGCTCCAGGCTCTGGAGTGATCCCACCCTGCTCCACCCAGAGTGGGGCCAGGGCTCAGTGCCCTGTGGGACTCTGCTGCTGCCCAAGGGATGGGCACAGGTGCCACCAGACCTCTCAGGAGGATGGAGACCCTTCCACTGAGGGTCTCTGAGGCCCCTTTTCCAGGGCCCACCCTCCCCTTGCTCCCTGTGGTGGGATGTGATGCCAGGCACGGAATGAACTCAGGGTGGGAAATGTCATGGAAGGGGGGAATAACCCAGGGGGTCCAGATGGGAGGAAAGAGCTGAACATCTGGAAAGGAAAGTCTCAGTGTGAGAGAGAGGAAAATGCCCTCCCCTGGAGCTGTGCAGCCAGGGAGGATCCCCAGGCAGTGGTGCAGCCCCTGTGCTTGAGTCATTCCAAGTGGGAGGGAAAAATCCATGGAAAATGTCCTGGCAGGAGCAGCCCTGCGCTGCAGGAGCGGCTGAACCGAGTGCCCCAAAGGGGATTTTCCATCTCCTGATTTGTGGGATGTGCAAAGTGGTTTGGTTTGGCCTGGCACCGCTGCAAGGAGCAATGCCCAGCTGGCAGTACGTGCCTGGAGCTCGGGGAAAGAGTCCTGGAAGAAATCTGGTGGGCACAGAGGAAAGGAGCCTGGAGAGCCATGGAATGCAGCAGGTTCTTCTTCCTGCTGGAGAGTCACACTCTGTCCTTCCCCATCACCATCGTGGTCGTCACTGACCGCATTCAGTTGGAAGGACCTCAAATCCCACCCAGTGCCACCCCTGCCACGGCAGGGACACCTCCCACTGTCCCAGGTGCTCCAAACCCTGTCCAGCCTGGCCTTGGGCACTGCCAGGGATCCAGGAGCTGCTCTGGGCACCTGTGCCAGGGCTGCCCACCCTGCCAGGGAACAATTCCCAATATCCCAATATCCCTCCGGCAGTGGGAGCCATTCCCTGGCTCCTGTGCCTCCTGTAACGCTGGCATTGCCCTCTCCTGCCAGCCTTTCCCCAGTCCAGGACAGCTGAGCAGCATTTCAGAGGCAGCAGAAATCCGGGATGCAGCTGAATTCTGAGAATTCCCTCTGCTCTGCTGCACGGCCGGGGCTGGGCACTGGGAATTTGGGAATTCGGGAATGAGGGCAGGGAGGGGCAGCCTCGGGAATTGTGTCTGCCCACAGAAGAAGCTCCTGAGGAGCCCGGGGCTGGCCCTGCTCACTGAACATTTCCATGAATCATTGGCTTTTATGGAAATCCCTTCCAGCATCCTCTCCCAGCTGTTTCCTGGGCACTGTGCTGCCTGCAGGGCTTGTTTTAACTTTCCGGGACTCAGCGGTCATTTTATTCACCACAAAGTTCTGAACAAAGAACCACGTGTGCCTTTTGGGGAAAACCACCCAAAAAAGGCTCCTGGGGAACAGCTGGGCAGGGCCAGCAGGATTTAGGCCCCAACCCCATCCTCTTTGCTGGGCTGGGGGCTGTTTTTGTAGGTTCCTTCTAAAAATAACCCCAGCACCTCCTTGGAGGGTGATGGAAGGAGTAGTTGCAGTTGGATGAGGCACAAATTCACCTGCTCAAGCTGGACACAGGGAGAACTTGGATTTCTGAGATCTGGATTGAAAGGCTGATTCTGGAGACCAGGATTTTTTTGTGGATTTTCTGCGTTTTTCAGGATTTTCTGTGTTCATAGAAATCCACAGAAATCCTTGCCTCTGGCTGGCTCTGGGTAAGGATGTTCCAAACCTGCTGAAGATCCATCTGACAGGGAAACAGTCCCTTGTCCACAGGACTCCCACTGGGAGAGGATCTGTGTGTGTGCCTGACCTGGGGAATCCATGGCTGGGCTGGGCCATGCAGGAGGGCTCTGGAACCCGGGCTCAGATCCCCTCCCCAGGACCTGTGGGACATTCTCTCCCCAGGATCTGTGGGACAGCCTCTCCCCTGGATCTGTGGGACATTCTCTCCCCAGGATCTGTGGGACATTCTCTCCCCAGGATCTGTGGGACAGCCTCTCCCCTGGATCTGTGGGACATTCTCTCCCCAGGATCTGTGGGACAGCCTCTCCCCAGGATCTGTGGGACATTCTCTCCCCAGGATCTGTGGGACAGCCTCTCCCCAGGACCTGTGGGACATCCTCTCCCCAGGACCTGTGGGACATTCTTTCCCTGGATCTGTGGGACATTCTTTCCCTGGATCTGTGGGACATTCTCTCCCCAGGATCTGTGGGACATTCTTTCCCTGGATCTGTGGGACATTCTCTCCCAGGATCTGTGGGACAGGCTCTCCCCAGGATCTATGGGACATTCTTTCCCTGGATCTGTGGGACATTCTCTCCCAGGATCTGTGGGACAGGCTCTCCCCAGGATCTATGGGACATTCTCTCCCAGGATCTGTGGAACATTCTTTCCCAGGATCTGTGGGACATTCTCTCCCCAGTATCACAGCACTGCTCAGGGTTCTTATCACGAGCATTTAATCCAAAGCCAGTGCCTGAAATAACAGGAGAGCAGAATACCTCGGCAGGCTCCAGGCACAGAGCAGGAGGAGATGCCCAAATCCCAGAAGGCAAAAAAGTCTCCAGGGATCCCTCCTAGCCTGACCAGGAAAAGGATTGCAGGACCTTAAACCTCACGACCACCACAAGCCTGGGAGCAGGAGCAGGAGCAGGACACTCGGTGCTCGGGGTGCCCACAGCGCTGGGGCTGCCCCTGGAGCCCTGGCAGTGCCCAAGGCCGGGTTGGACACTGGGTTGGAGCGCCTGGGACAGTGGGAATGTCCCTGCCATGGCAGGGATGGATGAGCCAGTCTCACCTGGGCGTAGGGGTGGCTGAGGACCCTGGGGACACTCGCTGCTGTCGCCGCTGGCTCTGCAGAGGGCAGGGGAGGGTGTCGGTGCTGCCTTTGTGTCCCCAGCTCTGGCAGCTCCGTGTCGGCTCCGCTGTCGCCGGGGAAGCCACGAGGAGCCCTGAAACAAAAAAGCAGCCCCGGGGCCATCAGGGCCGGCAGCCAGAGCTCCCTGCTGGAGCCAGATGTCACAGATAACATCTCCAATTCTTCTTGCGGTTTCCTCGATGGCAAAGCGCTACCGTGCTCTCACCCTGCCTGGCCACGGCCTTCCGAGCATCCCGGTGGGGAAAAATGGGGAATTCTGGAGGGCTGGTGCGGGGCTGGGCTGGCCCAGGGCTCCCAGCCCGGAGCAGCCCCCGGGGATGCTGAGGGGGAGGAAGGATGAGGGTGCTGAGGGTGCTGAGGATGCTCCGGGAGGAGCTGTTTTATCGCCCTGGAAGGGACAGGGTGACAGCTCCAGCCTCTCCCCTCACCCTGTCCCGTTTCAGTCACTGTCTCCCCACTCAGACCAGGTGTCTCCTCAGCATGGGGGCAAACTTTAAACCATCTCCACCTGGCAGAAAGATGAAGTGTTTCCTTTTTTAGAGATACTGAGACACAGAAAAGCCTTCAGGCCTTGAACAAAACCTCCGCTTCTCACCTTTTAAACAGGTATTGAAGCATAGAAAGCCTTCGGGGTTTGAATAAAACCTCAGCTTCTCACCCCCTAAATCACTTTAAAACCAGACCTCTGGCATTTGAGTCTCAGCTCCTGATTGCTCCGTACAAGCCTGGGCTCCCAAGTCACAGGGAATTTGGGAAGCTGCAGCAATCCCTGAACAGGGGTAATTAAATCTGTGAGGGCCTTGAAGAGATTCACTTGGTTTAAGGTCATTTTGCTGTGGATTTCCCCTTTCAGCTCCTGAGCACAGGCCCTGGGGCTGCCCAGAACCTGCAGGATCAGAGGGATCAGCCTGGCCTGGAATATTCCAGGGATGGGGCAGCCACAGTTTCTCAGAGTCTACTTCGAGCATCTTACAAATACAGCGATTTTTAAGCTATAACTTAGTGGGGGATTTGCACCTTTTCCACACCCTGAATTTGGTAAATTTTGCTTTAAAAAAGAATGAAAATATTCCCAGTTTCTCTTTTCCCCGTAAAGACATCAGGGAGATTTATTATACTTCTGCTCATAATAATGTGTGGAATTAGATAATTGCAATTAAGCTCATTGTGGGCTGTTGTGCTTTTAATCACTGAACTAATGAGGGAGTGAGGGGGGATCCAGGGAGTGAGGGGGACATGGAATCCATGGGAATGAGGGGCACAGCACCCCTGGAGCCCCAGGGGATTGGGAGCTGGAATGTCTCTGCAGGGTGGGGACACGAGCCCCTTGTTCCCATCCAGAAGGATTCTCCATCCTGGGACAAAAATGGTCACTTTTGCCAAGTTTTTTCCTTCCACTGGAATATAAAGACTTTTTCTTCAGGCCAGCTTTACTAATTTTAACTTTTGTTTGAATGGCCTTGCTGGGCTGTGGCCAGGCGAGAGGAGGGGATGGAAAGCTGTTTCCTTTGCTGTAGTGCTTTTTCCAAAGTGGATGTGATTGCCAGCCTGGCCAGGAGGGTTTGCTTCCTGCCCCAGGGAGCTCGGAAGTGACAAGGAGCACGGACAGGAGAGTCACAGACTCAGCCTGATGTGAAATCCTGGATTCTATGAGCATTTCCTGACAGAGCAGCAACCAGGGAAAGATTTCCTGGAAAAGGGGCCTTTATCACCTCACCTGTGGGTTTGGGTGTGACTGAAGCCTTGAGAGGGACCTGTTGGGCCAATTTTCATCAAAAATATTCTCTGATTGTTCCTTTTTTCTCTTCCCAAACCATCCAAAGCTCCTGGTCCACACTCATCCTTCCAGTATCGGTAACAAACCTGAAAGTGAAGGACAGGCAGAAAGGTTTGTATGAAATGCCTTGAAACCTTTGCATCTTTTTGTTGAAAATTAGTAAAAAAAATTTAGAAAGTCTTTTTTTTTTCCTGAGAAAATACAACTCTGAGGGTGAGACCCACCCAGGCAAAGCCCTGTGCCCAAGGAGAAGCAGGCAGGACAAACACTGAGCTCCTGCTGGGCTGCCCGGGAGCAGGAGCTGTCCTGTGTCCCACATTCCTGCTGCTCAGGGAATCAGGGAGGCTCTGCAAGCACAGTCCGTGCTCACACAAACCAGGGCTGAGCCCTCCACGGCTCACTCCAACACAAACCCCAAATGCAAGGCAGGAGGTGCTGCTCCTCCAAACCCAGGGTGTTCTGCTCTTCAATTCCCATAGCAACAACCACATTTTCCTGAACATGACACACACAAACAGTTGTTACAGACTGAAAACAGTGGTAACCAAGAAACAGAGAGGCATTTTCTCTTTTCCTCCCTGAAAACACTCACTCACTTTCAGCCTTTCCAGAGCAGCTGCAGAGGGGCCCAGCAGGACAGGGGCAGGGATGTACCACCCACCTCGGCTGGGTGGCTTCCGAGCTGCACCCCAGGAGCACACAAACATCCAAGGCTCTCCCAGTTTTCCCCTCCCAACAGCAGCACACCCACACCCCAAGTCCCACTCATGCACATGGGTCAAAGCCCTGGCATGTAAGAAAATCAACTTTAGTTTCCATACACTTGGCATCCAACAGACAGTAAAAAGAAAAAAAAAAGCTTTATATTTTATTTTTTGTAAAAATCTTTGAACACATGCAGACTAAAACCAGTGTAAGAAAGTCTCCACCATGTTTAAACAAATAACTATACTTAAATATAAGCGTCTGCAATTGACTGGTATAAAAATAATGTACGTTTTGCTTTTTTACAGAAATCCTTTCTCCAGTTCTCAGCTCAATAAACAATACACAACTCTAATACATACAGTGAACCTGATCGTTTGCCACCGCTGGGATACTGCTAAGGTATTATGTGCAAAAGTTGGTAACAGTTTCTTTCCCACGAGAAAAAAAAGAGTCTTCTACACCTTTCAGGAAACCAGACAGGGTTGAAGTTGTTGCAGCCCTGGTGGTACCTGACGGGCTGAGGGGCTCAGTGCTGGTGCCAGGGCTGACCAGCCCCACAGTCCCGGGGCTCGGTGCCGGTGCCAGGCCCAGCCCGCAGTCCCAGGGCTCGGTGCCAGGCCCAGCCCCGCAGTCCCAGGGCTCGGTGCCGGTTCCAGGCCCAGCCCCGCAGTCCCGGGGCTCGGTGCCGGTTCCAGGCCCAGCCCCGCAGTCCCAGGGCTCGGTGCCGGTTCCAGGCCCAGCCCGCAGTCCCGGGGCTCGGTGCCGGTGCCAGGGCTGACCCAGCCCCGCAGTCCCAGGGCTCGGTGCCGGTTCCAGGCCCAGCCCCGCAGTCCCGGGGCTCGGTGCCGGTTCCAGGCCCAGCTCCGCAGTCCCAGGGCTCGGTGCCGGTTCCAGGCCCGCAGTCCCGGGGCTCGGTGCCGGTACCGGCCCAGCCCCGCAGCCCCGGGGCTCAGCGGCGGTGCCGGCCGTGCCCCGAGCGGCCGCTGCCGTGGTGCTTGCCGCCCTTGTGGGAGCGCTCGAAGGAGCGCGAGCGCTCGCGCCGCTCCCGGTGGTGGCCGCGCTCGTGCCGGTGCTTCTTGGCCGCCTCCGAGTGCTCCCGGGACTTGCTCTGCGAGCGGGAGCGGGACTTTTTCCGCTTGTGGCCGTGCCTGCTGCTGCCCTTGAGCTCGTCGCGGCCGTGCTTGGCCTTGGCGTGGGGCGAGCCGTGGTTGTGGTGCCGCCGGGGGCTGCCGCTGTGGCTGCGCGAGCGGCTGCGCGAGCGGGAGCTGTAGGTGCCCGACAGGCTCCGCCGGTTGTTGTAGCTGCAGGAGACAACGGTTAGAGTGTGTCCCCACACCGGGAAAAGCAAACAGACATCAGCACTTAGGGCTTACTGCAAGAAATCAGGCTCTGTCCCTCAGGGGTAAGAGAGGGAATGTCTCAGAACCTGCCCCATGGAAGGCTGGGGTCAGTGATGTGGGATTTAAGGTCCTTCCAACCCCCACCACTCTTGTGAGTATTTTAGTTGAGCTCACTGGAAAATAAACAGCTCAAACTAAAACCAGAATGCAGCATCTTTTATCCACCTTATCAAGGGTATTCTCTCAACACCACATCAAAGAGTGGGTATTGCCTTTTTCCTTCAGTGACTTCACTGAGATCCAAGCTGGCAGCCTCCAGCTTAGAAGTGAGCCTGAAGATTCTTAGGAAAGCCCTGTCTAAAGCCAGCAGCTCTCCCTGCATGCCCCTCCTCCTGCAGAGGAGCAGAGCCCTGCAGAGCCAGGCACTGCACACAGAGCACTGACACAAGCAGGCTGCACACCTGGGGCACCTCTCTCTCCTTCCAAGGGCACTGCGCTACCAGAGACTGCTCTCACTTGTCCAGAACAGACTCCTCTAGTACAGTGCAGTTAGGACAGGCTAATTTTACAGCCTGAACTCCCAAGAGCAGCCCCACGCCCAGCACCGAGAGCCTCCCCCAGCAGCCCAGCCCAGCCCAGCCCAGCCCAGCCCAGCCCAGCCCAGCCCCACTCACTGCCTGCGGGGGCTGTGGGAGCGGGAGCGGGACTTTGTCCGGGAGCGGGAGCGGCTGGCGCTTCGGCTGCTGCGGCTCCTCTTGCTCTCCTTCCTCAGCCTGCAGGACACAAACCAAATGCTCAGGCACTGACACACCACAGGAGCTCGGGAGGAGCTCCCTGCACTGCAGCTGGAAGCATTTGTGCTCAAGTGTTCTCTTAGCAGGAGAGTTTTACCTACCCGTTGTAAGGGCTCTTGGAGGTTTGCTGCCTCTCTTCTGGCTCTTTTTTAATGGTTTTGGTATTCACAGACACTGGAGATTTCTCCTCTGCTTTTACTTCTCTTGGGGAAGCTAAGAATTAAATTTCAATTCAAAATCAGTTCTTTATTCATCCTTTATTGTTATAAACACACTGTACATCCCTCAGGCACCTTCACCAGGACTGCGCTAAGTGTAGATATGAACTCTACATCTATTATTTCATCCCATCTCTCCACTTATAGTCACTCCTAGAATGGGATATTTGTGGGGAAACCCTCTGCCCATGAAGGAGGAACAGAACTGGGACCTTCAGAGCACACAGCCATGCTCACCTGGGGCCAAAAGGTACAAAATAGAAGCTGCCCTTGTGCCTCACAATACAGAACGTGTTGCCTTGGCATTACTTCCAATGCTATAGAAAGGATTAAGCCTGCCCAGCAAACTTAGGTTTCCTCTTTACAATAATGGCACAAAGATAAATGAGTAACAAACTTATCCAGTTAATATGTCAGTCTGTCTCTACAGAAAGTTGGTGCAGCCCAGAGATGGATTCACCTTTCATGGAAGGGCTGTTAAGCCCAGCAGAGCTCCTGCTTTCAAACTCTTCCAACCTCGGCTCCCTCCTTGCAGAAAACACTTCCCTTGTTCCGTCAGAAATTCACACTGCTCAGCCCAAAGACCTCTGAACACTCAGGAGTCCTCAGGAGAAACCATGAGAGTTCAGACAGACTGGCCAGTTCAAAATGCATGTTCCATTTAATTCCCTCTGATGCCAAGGCAGTGCTGGGCCTCTCCCTCCTCCATTTCCTGCCCACCAGCTGTCTGCCCTCACTGCACCAAACAGTTGCCAAGCACATAAAAAACGAGCAGGGAAGGAATTTTCAGATACCTGCTGCAAAATGGGTCATGAAGGCTATTGCAGCATCCCCAAATTAAATCCAAAAAGCCTCTCTTCACATCACAGAACGCACAGCAACTCCTGCTTCATTATCTAATTATCTTAAGGGTGCATATTAATAATATATCACTCTCTTATCTGGGGAAATGTGGAATAAAGCATCTCCTTTCTAATGAGGTTCCAATGCTTTGAGACTGGTTTTAAAATCTACATTTAAAAAACATGAAAAAGGTTTTTCTGTTCAGAAAACAGACTTACATGGTTTTGACGCAGGAGAAAAGCCACCCAGTGTTGAGAGTGCTGGAGTTCCATCTGGATTTAAACCTTTTGCTTTCAGTTTTGCCTCCTGTAGTGCCATTTTCCTCTTTTCTACTTCTTTATCCAGAAAGTCGTAATTGGGCTGTGGAGGTAACAACCAGGTAAGAAGCTGACCTAATGTAATTCAAATTTAATCTCATTTCTGAAAAATACTGAGTTGGCTTTTAATGATCTGTCCAGTAATGTAACTTCCAGAATTTATTCTCTCCTTAGAGGAGCCCTTTCCATTAGCACATCTCTATAAGGCATTCCCAAACTTTTCTGACGACCATAACTCAGCTCAAGCTGCGCTGAGCATCAAGCAGCAAACCCCAGCATGTCAAACTCACCTTCTTTCTGGTATAAAGCTTCAGAGTTGTTAAGCAGATCTCCTGAATCTCCTCTTCCGTGGTGCCAAAGAGCAGGAACCAGTGGGGTCGGGTAGGCAGCGGGATCTGAAAATCAAACAAGGAGAAGCTCACTGGAGATTTCAGGTCAGGTTTTGCTGGAGTATTTCCATGAATTTCCTTGAGACCAGAGCAGCAGCACTGCAAGGCAGAGCTCAGAGCAGGCAGGGCTCACCTGCAGGGCTCTAGCAGCGAGGTAAATGCACGCACACGCGATGGTCTCCGGCTGGAAGCGAACAAACACGTTCGTCCGGAGGCTGTCGTTCATGTAATTCCTGAAAAAACAAAGCAGCACAGGTTGGAACTCCAGTTTGCTTTTCTTTTAGAGGATAACAATACTGGAGACTCAATTGACTTTATTATTTTTTCTGTTGTTACATTAAACGTGGGATTTTTTCAGGTTGTGCTGGATGTTTACACGTGTCACTCTGTGACAGTCTGCAGCACTGCCACTGTTTCAAACCCCAAGGCAAATATGTGTAGCGGTAAATCCAAGCAGTGTGGCACAGCCACTTCCTAGCTGAAGTTACCCTGGGAAGCGTCCACTGAGTTACAGTTTAACAAGTACTTTGCATCTGTCCAGCTGATTTGTCTTAAACACCAATGGGTTTGTATTTAAAGATCAGTGTAGAACTCCAGAGCCATCAGGAGAGCAAGGTACATTTTCAACCTACCATTATCCAGAGGCTACGTGCATCCTGCAGAGTTCATAAAACTCTGAGTGCATTTAAATTTTGTGTGCTTTGAGCCACTTTAACTTCATCCAGAGAGATGCACCCCATTTGCTCCCTGAGTGTTGGAAAAGATCTGTAAGTTAGAACTGGGCCCTGAGGTCCTGAGCTGCCAGTAACAGATGCCCAGAGATGGGGTGAGCAGCAGAGCTCCATGGATTTCTAAATTCCCAACATGGGAGAGAGAACAGCAGTCAGTCAGTGAGGACTCTACACCCCCATGCCCAGCCTGGCTGCTAAGTGAACATGCTGCATGCACTGTCACCCTCTGTTTAACTCCAGTTTAAACGCTAAATCAATGAAACACTGGCAGAATGGTCCCCCACGTGTCCTTTCACATACAGCAGGTAGGCAACAAAGACATTGAGAAACAGTTGTAACAGTTACTTCTAGAACCAAATATACAAATCCTGGCGCCAGGACAGAACTAGGAGGTGCTGCCCGATGGCTTTGGGTGACGGCAGTGAACTCGCTGAGGCTTGCACTGGCTTGGCTGGAGAGAAGGGCAGCCAAAGCAGCCATCCCCAGGTCATGGGCTGAGGTGCAGAGGGCAGAGCTCTATGACTTACCAGCAGGGACTACCCTTCAATCAAAGAGTAGAAAAAAGAACAAAGTTAAATTGAGTTCTCCATCACTACGCTGGAAACAAGCCATGAAAATAGTAAGCAGAAACAAGCACCACGAGATTGTCCAAATGTGTTTAGGTGGTGACTTACATCTCATTGCTTTGCATAGGGATCAGCAGGCTTGTTATTTCTGCTACTATTTTCCTGGCTAGGAAAAGAATGGAAAATAGCAACTTACCAGGCTGTCTGTACCAGGGTTTGATTACGTTCACATTCTAGGACTTGTAAATACATAACAATGATCTGAGGAATAAGGAGGGGAGGGAAAGAAGAGAGAGACTCAGTTTCAACACAAAACAGGAGTAAGGAAGTACAAATATACATATATAAAAATGAAATCAAACAGGATGCCCAAACAATGGGGGCTCCTTCTCTCCAAGCACACACTCTAAGCTCTCCTGTCAGCCCACCATTCTTCATTTCACTACTTTTCTATTTTCAAACCAGCCACCTTTACCCCTTCCCAGGGAAGTGACTTTTTTCACAGTCAATATGGCTGTTTGCCCAAGTACTGTGGCAAAAGCTTTAATAACTACAGAGGAATAAAGAGAAGAATTCAGGTCATTCTGACACCTGTGTTTCTTGTTCCACAGCTCCCAGTGATGCACCAAGGTAGAGTAAGAATTACAAGTACATTATTATTGAGAACTCACCTTATGAGGATGCTTGACATGAACACAAAATCCCAACTCCTTCAGTACCCTTCTTTCTGCTTTGATTACTTGATTTTTGGTGTTTATGTAGTTCTGATCAAGTATCAGGGGGCTTGGAGTCCTATAGTTTGCAAGAAATAAAATCAAAACTGTTTTGCATATCCAAAAATAACGGCAACTCTGTTTTCCCTTCCAACCAACTAATGGCAACAGAAACCGGTTTTCAACTCCTGCAAGCAAGTTTAAGCATTAATCTTGTGCTGTCCAAGTTTAGATAAACTAGTTTAGTTGCTGCTTTTGGCTAGCTACAGATTAGATGGCTGAGATAAAAAAAAACAAAACTTCTGCTCCTGTGTGTGCAAACTGCACTGCTCCAGCTGCTGGAAGGAGTTGGCTTGATGGGGGCACTCCCAAGAACTTTTCCTCTCTGTGGCAGAGGTGGCAGAAGGAGTCCTTTGCCAGGCAGGATTTCAAAGCAGAGGCAAGCCAGACCAGGGCTCTCACTGGCATTAAAGTAGCACCTCGTGCTCTAGAAATTGCAGTTTCCTATGCACTGAAGAGCAGCTGACTGACCCTTCAGAGAAGCCAGCACTGCCCTGTGACGTGAGAAAAGCTGAGTGAAGCACAGAATTAACCTGGGACACGGGTCTGCCTGGACTCTGGGCCTGCTCCCCTCTCCAGGGGTACCAGGGATGATCCTGCTGCTGCCAGCATTTGCAGAACAACAGCTGACTTCAGAGAGAGATTTCAAACTCCAGCACTGTCAATCCTAATTCCTCCCAAATCCAACCCCTGAACTGTCCAGAGCATGTGTAATCACAAAAACCTTCTGTACACTTGATGCACAAGTGTCACACGCCATTGCATATTTGCTTTGTCCGTGCTTAGACTTGACCTTTCAACATTCCACATGGGATATTTTAATCCACTTCCTCCCGAAGACAGACCAGCTTTTTCCCTGTAATATGCCTCACACATTCCATGTGCTTTCCAAAGCAGAGTAATGTTTTTTTCAGCTCGTTATGCTCCAATAAACCACAGTTTGTATACACGATACACCCCAAGCACTGGTGACGAATTTATTTTACATTACCTTCAAAAGAAAAAGAAGTAGTGCAAAGTGGATTCAAAATACAGCTTTTGTTGTATCAGACAAAACATTTCACTACCAACTGGCAAATTCCATGAGTGGATCTCGCTTCTCTTCCCTGACAGGTCACAGAACAGAAAAAATACTCAAAAAGCAAGGTTCCCACCCCGGGAAGAAAGGGTCAATTTAATGGCAAAGCTGGAAAAATCCAGTTTATGCCATGATCTCTGCAGTCACCTGGACAGGCATCGATGGCCATGGGCAAAGGACACCAAAACCTTCTCTAATGAAAGCACCTTGTAGCCCCATGCACCTGAAGCATGAGCTGTCCCTGCTCTTCCCAAGGGGCTCAGATGCAGCTCCCAGCTCTGGAATGAACAACTGCAGCTTCCCAGTGCCAGGCTGGACCTGCAATTCAAGTACTGTCTCTTTATATAAAATGCCAGGCTTTCCACGTTCCAGCAGAGTAACCTCTAGTTAAGTGTTACTCTCACTCATCAGGGCCAGTTCACAAACTTTTTCCTTTCAGCTCCTCTAAATAAACCCAAAACCGGGAGATTTTTTCTTTTGTTTATGGTTGTGGCTGTTTTCCTTTTCTCCCCATAAATTAACTGAAAATGAAAAGCTCTTCAAGCCTCTTTAGGATAACTACTTCAGTGAGGAGCTGATTGTGTCCAACACTTCAGCACTACAGCGACAGGTTGAACAGCGCTCTGGAGTGGGACAGTGAACAACCGAGCTGAGCTCTTCCCATCAGTGAAGCTGATTCACTTCCAACTCATTCCCATCAATTTTGCGGGTGTTGAAAACATTGCCTTCAGCACTGCTCTCCACTATTTCATCTCCAGATCACTGGCATTAACAGGATCTGCAGAGCAGCACCCAGAGGAGTTCAGGTGTCCAGGCTGTTTGTCAGCAGAAGGCTTCAGCACAGGTGGGAGAGCTCTGGTTACACACTTAGGACAGCCGTGATTTCCAGCCTATTAACACATCTCCAGTGGGACTGCTCAGGATCACCCACCACACCACCTTCCACGTGTCCCTGCACTCCCTGAGAGCTCTGGCAGGAAGGTAAGGTGGCTCCAAGTGCAGCAGGACAGATGGGAGCCTTTACTGTACTTTAAGTTTTCACTGTCCTTGCACAGAGCCATGGGATCAGCACCAACAGCTCACAGCTGGCCCAGGTTCCACAGCACAGGGCCAGGAAACCCGACATGCCAAGTGTGCTTTGCTTCTCTCTGCTGTCCCACATTGCTTTGGTCACGAGTCCTACAGCCCTAAGGAAGCCATGAAGGCCATCCATTTATCCAGACAGGACTTCCAGACAAATACAGCCTTTTATCCACTCATGGAAAAATAAAAATCTGCAGGAAACTGAGGTGTGTTACTGCACCTTATTACTGGCACAGGTCAGGTTCTCCACTGCATTGATTCACCAATTTAATACTTTTGCCATAAACTCTGCAATGTTGGTAAACAGTTATTCACCAGTTAGAAACTTCAGAGATTCCCCTTTGAAAAACTTCTTTGTTTTCTACTACAAATAAAGAGGAACTTTGCCAGTGCGTTTGCTGCACTTATTCTCAGTCCAAGAATTATCTTAGGGCCAAGTAACAAACCAGAGAAAGAGAATTTATAAGCTCATATATGAAATATAAGCTTCAGACTCTGTATAGCCAAGGAGTGTTACAAGTTCCTACTTGGAATCTGCTTGTACAGACCAGCACTAGAGCTCCAGGCAAAACTTCATCTTTAAGAACAGAGCACACAGTGGCCCCTCTGGGAAGTCAATCCAACACTTCCGATGTAAAACTTGATTGGGATTTAGATTGTGTAACAACCCAGAAGATTAACACACACTGTGATGTGTTTGTAACAATAAGTAAATTACAAATACCTTTTTTAAAAAATCACTCTGACAAATGAGACCTAAGTTCCCCACACAGCTGCAGTTTCATTTGGTGCAGTATTAAACTCTGATGTCTTTGTCATGACTAATACTGGGTGGAACAGTGCCCTGCGTGGAGTTTTGTTGCTAATGAGCAAAGCACTTGTGACAAGTACAGCAGAGCAGAGATCTGTTATGCTGGTCAGTACAAGAACACCAGTTCTCTGCTTGTCTCCAGGATCACAACCACAAGCAGCACAGGTTTGCAGGCAGTCTGGAGGCACTAAGGCCGTGTGTCATTAATGCAGCCCACCCTGAGTGAGGAACAGCTGACTGAGCACCTCAAAGCACCACGTGAGATTACAGCACCACACGAGTCACATTTCCAGTCTCAGGACCTTCTGCAGCTTTCAGGCACAGTTAAAAGAAATAAAATCAACTTCAAACTACATTCTACAAGTTAAACAACAGTTGCACTTTGCTCAGAACAGAGGTTTTGGCACACAGTTATTTAAAAAGCAGTTTTTCCATAGTACGAGCTTTTCTCCATGCACACAAACATTTTTACATGCAGTTCTACATCACATATGCTCATCAAAGATCCCAAAGAAAATATGCTTGTCCAAAACACTTATTTAGCTTTTTCTTACTTCTCAGCATTAGAAATACCACCTCGGTCGACTACATGTCTCATAAAAAGACAATTCCAATGCAATTCCCAGTTCTGCAAACAGGTACATAGAAGGGACTGCTTACATCATAATTGATAAAAATGTACAAATTCAAGACTTCCGTACCCTTGTTTTACTGTGAATTCAAGCTGCAATTATACAGAGCCAGAAAGTGGAACTAAGAACCCAAAACTGGTTAAGAAAGAAAGCAAAGCCTACCCAAACTACCCCAAATTCGTGTGCAGGTTAAGAGCTTCAGTTAACAGAAATGCTAGACTAAAAAAGAAAGTACAGCAGCCTGTTTCAGTTCTGGGTTGTGTGTGAGAGACTAACTACAGCCTAAGTGTTAGCTTCAGTAAAAAATAATAAAAAAAAAAAAGGTCAAGCTAGTATTCTAAAAACCTGGACAGCAAAGAAAAAAGCTTATAACAAGATACAGGAGTTCTTCCAAATGGTTCACCAGCGGCCAACCTGTTAGTCCCCCGGTTCCAGTGACCTATGCTCAGAGCACTGGCTTCTCCTTGGGGATTTTCGATACTTCACTCACTGTTGCCATGACGACAGCTTCATCTTTATGTACCACTCCACATCACCCAGGCTTTGGTAAATGTAGCTGGTCGCTGTATAGTCGGTTGCAAGGGAAAAAAGAGTTGAAGTTAATAACGTGTACAGGTGATGGAATTGTCAGCTTGTAAAAAGTACAGAAAAACGTTTACATCCTGCTTGCTAAAAAAAAAAGGGGGAGGGGGGATGTGCAAGTCTGAATGTCAGACTGCAGCATTTTTAAGGTTAATTTCATGCAGATTCACTCAGAATCGCAGAGTAACAATACCCATTTCTCCCGAAAATAATGGGTAGCAGTGCACGATTTCTCTGGACATGATGCACTTTAGGCACCACGTAACATGCACAAGTTGGGATTTGGAACAGGCTAGCTGGAAAGATTTAAATTCACAGGTTAAGTTCAGTTTCTCTGATCCTTCACACAGCACAAAGAAACAACTAATTTGTATTCTCGTTGCAAAGAAAAGCATGGCGTATGATTAATTAACCTTCACTGCCTGGACGGAGGCCAGAACGTTACTAATCACTGAGCCTGCTGCAGCAATTCCAACAACCAGACTCCCTTAATAACTGGGGAAGACAATCCCACTGAATTCACACCTGGCATAACTCCACACAGCTCCCTCAGGGCCATCGGGGAGAACAGCTCTAAAGGCCACACAGCACAAAGCTCAACTCCAAAGTGTAGCACCAACTCTTCCTGCTCGGATCTAGAACTAACTAGGCCAACACCATCAGGAGGCAGTAAAAGCCAAAGCTCTGCCTTCAACAGAAGCATGACCAGGACAAAGACACCAACAAACAGCTGGCTTCCCTAAGGGATTTCTCCTGTTTCTCAGAAAACCTTGCACAACACGAGTTTAAATTGCAGCGTGACACAGGGCAGGGAAATGAAGTGTGTGTTTAACACTGCAGCTGAAAACAAAATCCTTTTGTAACTACAGTGTACCTGAAACTTTTAAGCAATAAGGCACCAGAAGCAAAGCTGAAGTCTCCAGTCCCAGACTGTGACACTGCTGCTCGACAGAATTAAGGAGATTTTGTGTCTAACAGCAACCTAGAGAACTCTTTTCCTTCAACCACACCTTCTTCCTTTCAATGCACCAGTTATTTGCTTTACACACAAAGAGCAGCATTGGGCGCCCAGAACTGGGACAGCTCCACCCTACGTGCACACGGCCAGGGGAGCCCCCACTGCACCTCACAAGCACACCAGAACAATGCCGCTCTCACTTCTGCACCTAAAAATGCCTTCAGCCTCCCAGACTCAGTTACACTTTCCTCACCACTACAGCTGCAAACACCTCAGGCCAAACCAGGCTTTTTTCAGGTACTTTCTAAAATGGCTTTTTCTGGAAGGCAATATTGTTACCACTGAAAGTTCAGCTTCTTCTTAACAGGTATTAACATCACATCCACACTTGGACAGCCACAGACTAACGAGAAAAAAACCCATTGGAACTGCTAAATATGGTTAAAAAACTGCAAAATACACAGCAACTCGCTAATTGACTACAGACACCTACGACTATCTTACAATAACTACGAGATGCCAAGAAACCAACAGACCTGAAACTACAACCATGGTCCTAAAACTGGAACCAATACTTGCCAATCGTAACTCGTAGCTAAATCAACAACGAAAACGGGTCTACCAAGTGAACAAAAGCAGAGGCAGCCGAGATTGCACTGTACTGCCTACACAGCAGCCAACGGGCACTCCCTTCTCAATTTTAGGTCGTTGAACTTAGCCTGGAAAAATACTGTGAATTGAGAACTGCAGCGGACATTAATGGTAACAGGTGCTTATGCTCATAACGAAGCTGATCTTACCTTTTTGCTCTTAACTGCCGCAAGTGATGGAACACGTTGATCACGTCCCTTATCCGACGAGGCGCCTCTTCGATTTTGGACGCGAGATTGATGCAGGCCATAGCAACAATCTGAAAAGAAGCCCCGTTTCCGTTGAGCAAACAATTTTCAACCCAGATCAAGTGAGAATTACGTAACTAAGAAGCAAACCCGCCAGGCTCGAAGCGAGCGGCCTGCGTGGCGCGCGGCCGCCCTCTCCCGGTGCCCCCCCGGGCCGCGCTCACCTCGAAGCTGTGCTTGACGAAGGACTTGGAGTAGAAGAACCGATGGAACAGCACCTGCCCCGTCGCCATGGCCACCTGTGAGGGCAGAGCAGGAGGAGGGAGAAGGAGCCGCGTCAGTGGCCGGGCCCGGCGCCGCCATTTTGTGTGAGGCGCCGCTGCCCCCCCGCTCCGCCTCACGCCCTTCCCGCCGCCACAATGGCGGCGCCCGCCCTTCCCTCCTTCCCTTCCCTCCTTCCCTTCCCTTCCCGCCCCCCGCAAGCCCCGGCAAAGCCCACCTGCGGCAGCCGCAGCAGGATGCCTGCCGCCTGGATGAGCTCGCAGCCCAGGATGCGCAGGTCGGTCTCGCACTGCAGGTCCAGCCCGTCCTGCATGGAGGGGGTGGGCGAGAGCCGCTCCTCGGGGATCAGCGAGTGGTCGATGGTCAGCGACACCTCGGAGTAGAGCCGGTCGCCGATGAGGATGCCCGGAGCGGCGGCGGCGGCGGCGGCGGGAGGAGGAGGCGGCGGGGCGGGCGCGGCGGGCGCGGCGGGGCCCGGGTGCGCGGCGGCCATGGCGGCGGAGCGGGGCGCTGGACCGGCTCCGCCTCCGGCAGCGGCCGCGCGCCGACTGCGCGGCCCCGCGCGCTGCGCACGCGCCACCGCCGAGCGCGCGCCGCGCGCGGGGGGCGGCGGGAAAAAAGAGTCCGCGGGACACGCCCCGGGAACCGGGAACGGGAACATACCGGGAGAAGGGATCGGGAACGGGGCAGTGCACAATGACCAGGGAGCGGGAATGGTGCTGGATAAAGCTGGAAAAGCGCAGAATCACCGCAGGAGTTGCGGCTGGGAAGGCTCTTCCAGGCTCGCTCCAGTCCAGCCCCTGCCATGGGCGGAGACGCGGCACAGAATAGATATAGAAATACAGAAATACCGCATAGCTGCTCAGCCAGGGCTCAGGACCTGGATCCAAGCCTGTCTTAGGGGTTGTGGTGCCCGCGATATGTCACACAGGGTAAAAGATCCATGAATTTCAATAAAACTAAGGTGATTGTGGGGTAGCACTGCCTACTACAAAAGCGGACTGCGCCTTTCCAGACTGGAAACGTCCAGCGGGAAGTTATCTCCAGCTTCATTTATTAAAGAAAAACAAAATAAAAATGAACCAGCTCCAGCCGTTTTAGCTGTTGTAGGTCATAAATCCATAATAAAGGAGGAGACATTCCCACATGGCGAGGCGCGCGGAAGAGCACAGCAGGCGCGCGGAGGCGCACAGTGGGAGCGCGCTCCGCTGCCCCCGGACCCCGCGCTGGCGGCGGCAGCAGTGTCGCAGCAGTGTCGCTGCAGTGTCGCACAGTGTCGCAGCGCTCCCGGCAGGGCCCGCATGTCGCGACATCCCCCCCGCTGTCGCGACCACGCGGACGCGGCCGCCGGCACGGCCGCAGCGCTTGTGTCACTTCTGGGAAGGACCGCAGCACCTCCCGCGCCGCGCGCTCTGGATCCCTCCGCGGCCGGAACGTGGCGCGCCAACCGCCAGAGCTCGCCCCGCCCCTCGCGGCAGCCGCGGCCTCTGATTGGCTGTCTGGGTTTGAGTGACAGCGGCTCCTGAGGGGCCGTGCCCGCCATGTTGTGTGGGGAGCGGGACCCGCCTCGCCCCTGCCCGTGGGGAGCCCTCGGGAGCACCCAGAGCACCCCAGAGCCTGGAGAAAACCTCCAGCATCGAGTCCACGAATGGCGGATCCCCAACCTGGCACCAGCTCAGAGCACTGAGTGCCACGTCCTGCTCTTTCCATGGAGAAATTCCTACTGATTCCACCCTCAGCCTGCCCTGGCCCAGCCTGAGGCCCTTTCCTTTCATCCTGGCCCTGTTTTCTGGAGCACAGCCCGACCCCTCAGCTGTCCACTCCTGTCAGGAGCTGTGCAAAGCCACAAGGTACCCCCTGATCCCCCTTTTCTCCAGGTTGAGCCCCCTCAGTTCCCTCAGCCTCTCCTGGGGCTCCATTCCCTTCCCAGCTCCCTCAGGATCCACAGGATCAGCCTGAGGAGGAGGCCGAGGTTCTGGTTCTCAAAATCTGCTCATCACAGGGTGTGGAGCAGTGCCTTGTTTTGAGCCGTGCTTACAGTCATTAATAAACCTCCCCAGTTTTACAAACCTTCTTTTGGAAAGGTCGCTGCAGTACGTTTGGTTTTTACCCTTCTTTTCCTGTTATATTTTGGGGTTTCAGAGTTGGTAACTAGCACCAAAATAGTGGTTTTTAAATGGAAATAAATAATTCAATTGGGAGCTGTTTTATGTGCAAATTCATGGCTCAGCATGGGATCCTGCCTATTTGGAAAGGACATTATTTATTATTCACTTATTTGGAATAGTCACCCCATTTTCCTGGCCTTTTGACAACCTCTTATAGCCATGTGCTGTACAATCCCTGAGATTTTAAAAACAATTTCACACGGAATTAAAAAAATTGCACCACCCACCTGGAACAGGCTTCGGAGCTGTGATAACAGAGCCAAAAAAAGTCCTATGAACCCAAATGCTGGTGTAAACACCTCTGCAATGGCAAAAGCAATTCACAGCCCACAGAATGTGCTGGAGATTAAAGAAATAGTAATAAAAGAGAGCTGGGAAAAGTTGACTCTGCCCCTCGGATTGTTCTGAGGTGAAATCCTGGGTGAGGTGGTATTTGCAGAAGGCAAACAGCACTTTCCATTTCCCTGCCAGGTACCCAAGGGGCTGGAAAGGAGCAAAAAAAGAAAAAAAAGGAGTCAAGGAAGCAGCAAGTGTCAGCGCAGTGGAATTTGCCCACTTTTTTTTTTTTTCCATGCACACACCCATCATTTATTGCTTTTAATGCACTCCAGTTTTCCAGGATACACTTTGATGTTTCAAAAAGCTGGAGAGATTTGTACTTGCTGTGAAAAACGCCAATCACTTGGTTTTTTTAAAAAATTTTAAGAGTTTGTTAGTAATAAAATACTTATAAAAATAGTAATAAAATTAGAGTAATAAAAATTTGGACAATTAGGATTAGGACACTACGAGACAATAAAAAGCAAAGAATTACAGATGTCCGGATGTTTTTGGGCACTGAGCTGCCAAAAACATGCCTTGTGAACAAAAGAATAACCCTTAAAAGCAACAACCTGTTGCATATTCATATATCTCATACACGGTGCGTAAATTCCTTGCAAATTAAGAATTTTTCTGGGTTTTGTCAACTTCTTCCCCATAATCCTGGTGGTTTCACAACAATGGAGAAAAGGTGGAAGAATGTTTTTTCCATACAGAGGCTGTAACTCCTTAGATTTCCTGTTGCTGTTATCTCTGTGCAAAGTTTGTTGATTATCTTATCCCTGTCTTGAGCTAGTAAAAAAATACCTTACATCACACAGTTTCTAGTGAGACACCAAAGCTGAGCGATAAAAAAAGGGGGAAAAGGAAACACCTCACGGAAATCGAGTTTTGGATATCCTAAACTCTCTCTTCTGGTGGGCAGTGCCTAAATCCCCTCAGGATTTACAGGCTTGGCAACAAATGTTTCCCAGAACAAAATACAAAACGTTTCTTAGCAAATTACTACAAATTACCCTAACAGAAAAGAAAGGATTATTTTGAGAAAATAATAATCTGTGATGACAGAAAAGTCTGATTTCCTTGAAGAGTGATGGCTGTAAGAAAACATCACAGGAATTTACGCAGCAAAATATTTTGACATGAGCTGATATCTAAAAGTTTCTGTTGTCGTGTCAAATAGGTGAGACTAAGACAATGCAGAATATGCTTAGATCAACTTATTGATGAATTTATTAACTAAATTCTAAAATCTCCAAAGTAAAACATCAGCTGAAAGTTGTTTGTTTCTTTTTTTTTCCTAATTTAGGAGGTTGATTTTAATTCTTCATGCTGAATGTGATAAATTAACTGAGAATCTAGAACTCCCTTCCCTCTCAGTCATAAAAATCTGCATTATCAGCTGGAACGGGACTTCTGATGGAAGTACAGCCCCGGCACATGTCAAGTACTGGGTTTGCATTGATAGAAAAGTTTGGTGCCCAAAAAAAAACTTGGCAAAGGGAGTTATCCCAGCTGGATAAACAGTGTTTTGCTCTGCCAAATTATAACTGGAAGAGAAATTCGTTAGATACCTTTATGAAAGATTTACAGAGCCAATTCCGGGCTCTGAATTAGCTCAGAGGAACAAGGAGGATTATTTGAAATCCTTCCCAGAGGGCGAGTTCTTTAAGCTCTTACTCACTGGTTTTGAAAGAGAAAAGAGGAACTGAGCAGTGGGGTCACAGCCCGAGTTTGCAGCGTGAATAACCAGCTGTGAAACCAGGGATCCACTTGGCTGGAAATGTTTCTTAAACATCTTGTTTCAATTATTCTGTCACCTAGAATGTAAAATTCACCGTAGAACTGGAAAATTTCTGCTTTTAAAACCTCATACTCAAGGCACGGCATTTGTAGCCTTTTGATTTCTCAGTAAATCCGTGTTTTTGTGAGTGGTATACAGATTTTTCAGAAGATTTAGTGCCTAAATGAAGCCCATTTCTCTCAGTTCATGAGTTTATGGACTCGAGGCTTTGGGTTTCCCATCGCAACACACACAAATTGCTTGAACTTCCATCAAAGGTATTGGGAAAACAAGGAAGTAAGGAATACTCACCATGTATTACAATTAGTTTTTCCTACACACTGATGTTCACCAGCTCACCTGTGTGCAACAATATTATTAATAGAAATAAATATACAAATATAGCAGTTTGATGCATTTACAAATTGAACATCAGGCTTGAAATCACTGAAGTTCAAACCTATTTTCCAGCACATTTACAACCCAACCCTGCTTTTCTCCTTGAGACACGCTGGTATTTCCAGGAAAAGCACATGGAATTTGATTTATTGGATCTTATCAAGTCCCACTGGGGCATAGATCAGCAGCAATAACAACCTTTAAGGCTGGATCCTCACGCTTCTCTCCCTGCAGAGGTTGGGTGTGAGCAGCTTCAGCTCTTCCACAGGGTGTGTCCGTGCATGGCCTGGCCACGAGCAGCTGGAATTCCGTGTGGGCATCTCCAGGGGTGAAAGGAGAGCTGGAATTCCATGTGGGCAGCTCCAGGGGTGGAAGGAGAGCTGGAATTCCGTGTGGGCATCTCCGGGGGGTGGAAGGAGAGCTGGAATTCCGTGTGGGCAGCTCCAGGGGTGGAAGGAGAGCTGGAATTCCGTGTGGGCAGCTCTGAGGGGTGGAAGGAGAGCTGGAATTCCGTGTGGGCAGCTCTGAGGGGTGGAAGGAGAGCTGGAATTCCGTGTGGGCAGCTCTGAGGGGTGGAAGGAGAGCTGGAATTCCGTGTGGACATCTCCAGGGGTGGAAGGAGAGCTGGAATTCCGTGTGGGCAGCTCCGGGGGTGGAAGGAGAGCTTTGCACCACTGCAGGTGTGACAGCGATGTGGTGACATCTCTGTGGCAGCAGGGGTGACAGCGCTGTGGTGACATCTCTGTGGCAGCAGGGGTGACAGCGCTGTGGTGACATCTCTATTGCAGCAGGTGTGACAGCGCTGTGGTGACATCTCTGTTGCCTCGTGGCTCCGAG